ACTGGCAAAAATTATTCATCTCCCCAAGTGATTGTGTAACTGGATTCCTTACTGTGAGACCAGGCCTCTCTTCTACTCTTCTCATAAGTAAAAGATTTCCTATTAATTTTCTCCTCCTCCTGTTTTCAATATTTCTCCTTTAAACTCAAGAAATTTTCTGTTCTCACATAACCATAGTTATGCAAAAATTGAAGATAGTGTCAAAATTTTAGAATATGAAAAAAAGGAGAAAGGATGGATGTAAAAGAAGAATTACATATATATCTAGCAACAAGAAAAAATGAAAGCAACATCCTTAACATAATGCAAACACAAAATTTAAACCCAATTTATGATAAGATCCAAGAATTAAGACAAAATTAATAATTAAAACCATTGGTATAATGATATTCTTAATTATATAATTTTCCAAGTCAAGATAGATTTAGTTAAAATGTGATTGTATTTATTTTCTTTGTTTACATATTAGATTTAATAACATAGTGAAAGACTGTGACCATGACCTTAGTGTTAAAATGCATCAGTCATTAAAAATAATTTTAAAAAAAGGGTAGGCCTACAATGGTGTATTATTTATTAACTAGTGTACCTGTTGCTCGAATTTGAGCAATGCTAAGTATTACAGGCATTATTTTAAAACGAATAACAGTCATAATTTCTGATGACTTTAAAATATTTGGCTCAAAGATTATGAAAATACTCAAGATGTACATAACAGATCGATATAATCAACATTTAATTTACTGTAAATAGAGTGTTTTCTAGCCTTACTCATAGCTGCAATAGGTTTCCAGACACGTGTCCAAAAGCCTAACAGCACGACTCCCTTCCCCATACCGCCCTGAGCGATAGGGATCATTGAGATTCTCTAACCTTTCCTCTCCCCTTCATGGGCAAGTTTTCATTCCTTTTCTTTCTTAATTTTTGTTTGTTTCTTTTCTTTAATTTTAACGTCATGTAGGCTATCCCTGGTTTTTCCTTAGCTAGTTTTCTAAACGTTTTAATTGTTTCCTTGTAACTTATCATGTTTTATTTACTCAACCCTAGACCTATCTTATCCAAGACTTATTCCTGTTCTCTCCTATTTGTCTCTTGAAGTGAACAATTTATAAATACATGACTCGTGGTTTTTATTTCTTCACATCTACACACTTCCTCTTCCACCCAGTCTCTTTCTGATGTTAGGTATGTAAACGTTCGTTTACCTTTAAAACGTTAACATAAAACACTCTGCTCCCAACGCATTTGCCACTCATCTAATACCTCCTCTCTTCTGTTTCCGATGTAGTCATACCCGCCTCCTTGTCTTCCAAAATCAACAGCTTATGCAGTGATTGTCCAACAGTCCTAAATTGAATGTGAAATCTTCAGGCGGCTGTTGGAGAGCACACTTAAACCCAACACAGAAGGGTGCTTGCTGTATTCGGCTATCAACGTCATATTATTTGTATTTCGTTCTCGTCTACCAGTTTAAATTTGTTGGCCTCCTCCTATTGGCCGTCCTGGTCATCGTCTTATAGTCTCGATTATGTCAAAGGTTTTTTTGGTTATGTTTTGATTTTGTGCAAAATTTTAGTATAACCAGCAGCGGTTTCAAATATTAGTTTCAATTTGAAAGTATTCATCTGTTCAACTTCAAATGTAAACAAACATTTTCTCCATAAGAATAACATAGGAACTTTGAAGGCCACTGGGGCAGAGCCCTGATGGAATACCAAAGTTTTTGTGTTTGATGGCAAAACTACATGCTAAGACCTTTCTATTCTAACGACACCTTGGACATGGTGATCGGTAGCACCACCACTCCAAAACAATTATGACAAAAATATGCCTAGCGTATTAGATATTAATTACAGTAGCCCTACACATGAACAATATCAAATATAATATATATATATATATATGTATAGATTTATATATATATATATATATTACATATTCATATATATATATATATGTGTGTGTGTGTGTCCGTGAACGCGATAACTTGAGTAATTTTTGTCCAATTTTGATGAAATTTGGTTTAAAGGTGTAAGGCAGGATAAACTTGAATGAGATTGCAAACCAGCATGATCGGACCATGGGAACGGGGTTTTATGGGGTAAAAATTGGTTTTTCTTATTTTTGGCCCTCAAAACTTAAAATTTCTCAATTTCTTGAGACCTTTTTAAAGAGTTAAAAAAAAACAAATAATTTAGTATACCAAAGTGTTTGTGTGCGACAATTGGTAACAGAGAAAATTAAAAAAATTGTAAATTTAATATTCCCATTTTATTCTTAAGGAGAATATTGTAAAATGTTGTGGAGTGCTTGTAAATGGATATATTTAGATCGAACTTGGCAATTTTATTTATTTTATACTAAGCTATTAATATTTTACTAAAAAACACCTTTTCTTAGTTTCCTTGTAGCAGCAAACCTAGGTACTCGTTAAACCTAATGTTATTTAGATAGATTTAATAGAAAATCAATTCAGAAAAATAGAAATTCGCTTAGTCGGTAGGTTTGCTGCAGAGGGGGTATTTATATTCTTCATGATTTTTTTTGCTTGCGAAATAAGTTGCATAGCAGAACAATAATAATAATAGTAACTTATAATGATAGTAAATATTATATTCACCTCTCCAAGTGACTGTGTATCTGCATTATTATGTCTCTCTTCTGCTCTTCTCATACGTATAATATTTCCTCTTAACCTCCTCCTGTTCTCAATATTTCTTCTTTAAACTCAAAGAAATTTTCTGTTCTTCCAAAAAAACTGTTTGGATTGGTCTATCCTCCTGAATAGATATTTACTCTCAAGAAGCTGGTGAGTTTCTTTTTATCAAGGCCCCACTAGAAAAAACAGGCCATTCTGCAGGATCCATGACGTCACACTAGTGGATAGATTCCATTGATAAATTCATTGCCGTTGACATTCCCATATGTTGTAGGCAAATAAAAAAGGTGGTCGTTTGTAAGATTTTAATGGTAAGAGTTTAGTACAACTATCCACCACTGTGACGTAGTGTTGCGCTGCTGCTCGTACTGCAGCATGGCCTGTTTTTCTAGTGAGGCCTTGCTTTTTATATACAGCTGTTTTTTGTTTTTAAATTTGTTCAATGTAAACAATGACACTGTACCGAGAATCCATGAACCATATTATGAAGAATTAAACTATTTCCATAAAATATTTTACCCCGTGTAGTGTAACTTATACCATCGTTGGCCCAACCTTTAGACTAAAGATTGATAAAACTTGTCTGTGGCATAGTGAAGTTGACAGCACTTTTGAAAACCTGTCTTTTACTTTGCCAGTTAAGTAGGGGAGAGTGTTGTACCTTTGACCAGTTTTCACTTAAAATTTTTTTGTAGAGACAGGAAAGCTCCAATTATTTTAAAAGTAATCAACGATGATACTTAACTGTTTCTTCCATCGAATAAATACCTATTTTTCCAGTTACTTGTCATGAGTTTTAACCTATTTTTAGTAATAAAGGAAATGTGTTACATAGTGGTCAAAGGTTCAACATACAGTTCTACCTTTGACCAGTGGGTGTTGTACTTTTCACCAGCATATCGATTTCAGCCCAAAACAGGTAGAAAAAAACAAAAAATATATATCTTACATGATAGTTTTTAAAATATAAAACCAGATACACAAAGTTGAACTTGGTTCATTTCATCAAGATTAAAAAATGGCTTATTCTACTTTTTAGGATAAAAAGTCCTCTACAAAATTGAAAAATTCTCTTTGACGTGCTTATCCACTTTATTTTGCAGTGTGGAGTTTGGCTACAACCTCCTGTAGGTTCCACAAAACAATGGCTTAATATTAATACATTAACATATATATAAAAAAAAAACAGTAATTACTATACACTGAATACAGATGATGTTGTACCTTTTGACCTGGTCAAAGGAACACCGCTATTAAGTGGTCAAAGGTACAACACTAGCGCTACCCGCCAAACCGCCATTTTATGTATATTCTCAAAAGATATGTAATAATATCAGTTTCAAACATCCAAGAGAAGTTAGAGGATAAACATCAAATAATAACCCCTCACTTTCACTTTTATTTGTAGACAAATATAAATTTTATAAAACAAACAATATAAGTCAACAAATGTTTATACTTTTCAGTAGCAAAAATGAATAAACTAAAATATCTTCCAACAATCACAGTTTTTAATCTCCACTCCAATGCAAGGTGAAGTAGTCAGCTGGTGGCTGATCTATGAACTAGTTTCATTAGCTTCCCTATACAGCCTCTAGATTTCACTATATGACTGGTGGTCAAATGTACAAGATGGTCAAAGGTACAACACTATCCCCTACAACCCACTGGTAAGAACAAACAAAAGTCCTGTTGGTGATCATAAGCACTACACCAGGCACAAGAAAATCGTAATCTTAATAATTGAATTTAAATACTGCAAGTAAGATTCTAATGTGGGACGAGTTTAACAAAATATTGATGGACATTTTAAAAGATTTTTTTATTTTAGTGATTAACCTATACTTTCAAAATCTTAGTAGCCTATTTCTGAAAAATAATTATAATAGGCTGACTAAAATCATAGATAAAAGGAGTAGACATTGTCAGTTAGCGTAGCGAACGAGCTAACCTGAAGGCAAGTGAGCGTAGCGATCGAGCTCCAACCTAAAGGTGAGTGAGCATAGCGAACGAACTGCAACCAGAATGTGATTGAGCCATGCGAATACTTATGAAGTTAAACGGGACAAAGCCCGCGGGTACAGCTAGTTTAGGATATTTGCCTATAGAGGGTACAGTTTTTTTTAGATTTACAGTTTTAAATTCGTTTCAAAATCAACTGCTGTAGTATTCACGGCCGCCTTTAAAGGTGGCTGAGGTAGTATTCCTACTGATCTTGGAGAAATATATAATCAATGGTATTCTTAACCAGCTGTATTTAAAACGTACTTTTACTTTTTCTCTCTCATTCCGGAATATTGTCTTTCACTTTTGTCGTCTTGTCTTGTAATGTCATATGGCCAAGAAGATATAAACCATAACCTTAAATATTTTTGAGTTGTATGTGAATGTGACTATCTGGATCTGGATTAGATTTTTGAACTAATTTCAATAATTTCCTTAATTTGTTTAAGGCAAACAATACAGAAATATTTCCTAACTATTTTTCTTATAAGTTATTTATACTGTTTGGAGTTAGAAGTGAGTAATGTTGTGAAGTCAGTGCAAACATATTGTTGGCCTTCAGTGTTTGTGCAATCAATCATAACCTTTAACTTAAATTAAATCGTTTCAATTTTGCTGAAAAACGATTTAATTTTTTTTTATATAATATATTTAAGTAGAATCAATTTTATAGATGGCTCCAAAAAAGACAAAGGGATCAAAGAAGGACGATTTTGATGACAGTGATGTTGAAGATTCTAAAAGCCAAAAACAAAGCAAAAAGAAGGGTCAGTCGAAAAAGGGAGAAGACATTCAGTCTGATGAGGATAACAATGTTTCTAAACCGGTGAAAAAGGACAAGAAGAAAGGAAAATCCAAAGCCAAAGATGATTCTGATGGTGAAATTCAAGAAGTATCAAAACCAGAGGGGCAGTCATCTAGCAAAGCCGCTTCGAAAACAGGTCCAAAAAAGAAGGGCAAAGGTAAAAGTAAAGCTCAAGAATGGGACAGTGATAATGAACCTGAAGTAAATCTTTTAAGTAAAGGCAGTGATTCTGAAGATTATAGTGCAAATCAAGTTCTAATGAAGCAGAAGAAAAAAGTTAAAGCAAAAAAGAAAGTTGTAGAGAGTGAAGATTCAGGTGCTGAAAGTTTGGGAGATAACAGTGATTTAGATGATTTATCCAATGATGTTGCCAGTGTTCAACTTGAAGAGAGGTCCAAAAAAGAAATATCAAGTAAAGAAAATTCAGTTGCCCGATCTATATCCTTGGAAAAAGATGAAGAGGTCGTAGAGCAGAGCAAAGACAAAAAGAATGACAAAGTTTCTCAAGACCTTAACGACGATGAAAATGATGATACTAACCTTGATGCTGGTGAGACTGTTGCCAATGGAGAGGTTAATCAAGGTAAGCTTAACAATACGCAAAAAAAATTCCTAGGCTTACTAACTCATTTGTTGAGTAATTTGAAAGGGTCATATTGCCTACTTAATCAATTAGGCTACTAGCGAAATTCGCTCCTGAGCCTATGTGTGTGTGTGTGTGTGTGTGTGTGGTGGGTAATTTATATAACCTAAGTTAAATTGCTAATTGTAGGCTAAAGTAAACTAAGAATCATAATCTGCAGTTATAAATTAATACATTTTTTCCTACCATGATCTGTTACGGTATTGATTCTACTTTTCAATTGTTTATTATAAATCAAAGGTAAAAATCTCCTTACATTTGTAGACATTGCTTAGCAATTGACTAAGACATCACCAATTTAGTCTGGTCTGTCAAGTCATCCAAATATCTAGCTCTGGCCATAAAGGTTTTAGAATGAAGTCAATTTAGGTAGATTACTGAAATCACCTTTTTAACATTTAGCGTTTGGTCGTGGCTTGCTAGTCATCAGTCCATTGCATGATGACTTAGTAATGTAATCAACAATACAACGATTAACCCTTTGAGCGCTTTCAAAAGATGCGACAACTTCCTCTATGAGCCAGCACTAATGCATGTGATGCACCAAATGGCCAGGGAGCAAAATCAGTGATTTTGATGTTTTGGCTAAAAGTGCTATAGGCCTAGGCTACAATTTGAATGACTTGACAAAAACGGATCTGGTTTATTTTATTTTACATGTTTTAAACTGTATTTAAATATACAGGGTGACCCGGGGCAATTCTGGCAGCCAGACGTGAACCTTAACTTTAACTGCTTGTACCGCGGTGAACATATTTTTCATTTTATTTTGACAATTACCATAGTAATTCTATGTTATTCCTCTAGTGTTTTCATATATTTAGACAACAATCTCAAACTCCCCTTAAGGGGGTTTGAGGTTTTTTTTTTTGGAGTGTCAGATGCCAGAATTGCCCCAACCTTGGGGCAATTATAGCAATACCTTATATTTTCCTTATTGTTTAAATTGCTCTGACATTGGGGCAATCATGGCATAGGCCTAATTTAGCTGTTTAAGATGGTGTTTTAATTTTTGTTCTATCTCTATTTATAAGGAAGTTGTGAATAAACCGGTAAGACAGTACAAGCGTACAAGGGCCTTAACCTCAAAACTTCTAGCAACAATAAACAATAAAAATAATCAGGCTGCCATAGAGCAATCTAAGCAAAAGGTGTTTACAAAGCCATCCAAATGAACTGAAATGAAACATATTACACATAACACACGTTGTTATACAATTTATTCTTTAATTTATACATTATTTGTATAAAGATATATAGCTGCCATAATTGCCCCGGGTTCTTTGCCACAATTGCCCCATAGCATATGAAAATGGGGCAATTATAGCACCCATTTAAATTTAAATATCTTAAAGGGATAACTGCTATTACTATTTTTGTTCATGAAGTTTTAAGTCTGAACAATTATCTTTGAGTATAAAAAAAAATAAAATATAAAATTCATAGGGGAAAAAAAATTAGCCGTGTGCGATGTTTCGATATCCTCGGGCTGTGGAAGAAAGTACTTTTTTAATCGCTAATAAAAATTACTGCAAACATTTTATTTTTACAAAAATGCTTCCTATATATAGGAGGTATATGCTGAAATAACAAATATTGCTTCACTGATCTGTAAAGCTGAAATTTAAAAAAAAATATAGGCCATTGCTATAATTGCCCCGTGCCAGAATTGCCCCGGGTCACCCCAATCATTGCATATAAGGAAAAAAAAACTTTTTATCTCAAAAATAAAAATAAAATATTTTTCAAGTTTTATTTTGTTATTTTCTTGGGTATAGGCTACTGTATAGCCTACCTACCATACAAATCAAGTTTTTTCTTCATACACTATATTTTCTTGTTCAGTAGGCCTACTCTAATGAAAGTAAATATTCCAATTTTGAAGAGTATAGGCTAAATAAATAAATTTACTATGCCAATTGCCAATATAGGCCATATGAAAATGTGAATTTGATAAATAGCCAACGCAAAATTTAGTCAGTGAGTCCCACTAATAACTAAAAACATGTAGGCTACCGTACTAAATATTGAAAACGTGCACTAAATATTCAAAAAATAATGCAAAAAACCTTTTAAGTTACCAGTTATTGACAACGCAGCCTATACAACAACATTCAATAACTATTTCGAGCAAGAATACAGAATACAATCAGCTGGGTTAGGCCTTGGCCAGGCGGTGTCACAGCCATTTGAATTGCTCTTTTTCCCAGTTAAACGTATTACAGTTAAAATGTTTGTATAGTATATAAAGTAGGCCTACCTATACTTATATATTCTTGTAGGGAAGCTTTAATGTGGTATGACTTTTAATATTGTCAGCGTCAGCAGTCTCATTTGAGCTCTAAATGAATAAAATCTATTTGCCAATATATCGGCGGGCGGTTATTTTCGCAGCACCGATGGGTGCCGATATATCAGCAGTATGCGTTTTAAGAATAGCCTATATAATGAGAGTGCCGATACATCGGCAGTTGGCGCTCAAAGGGTTAATATCTTTTGGTCAGCACAACCATTCCCCAGCATATTTTACTTGATCCATTTGTTTTTAAATGTTTAGGCCTATTGTTTTTAACTAACCTACTAGTGTTTTGTTTCAGACAGTCAGAAGAAAATGACACATAAAGAAAAGAAGAAACTGAAGAAAGAAGTAAGTAGAAATTAGTCACATTTAAACTGGCCCTTTTTACCCTACCACAAACAAAGTGACGTTGAAGTGGGGAAGGAAAATATTTTATTAGGGCTGAAAGTCTTAAGATTTTGTTTCTCAAGAGTTAAGTTAAGTTACACCTTATTGACCTAATATGCTTCACATGATGATAAACTAAATACAAATGAATCCCTAAATATTCAATCTTAAAGCACATTAGGCCTAGATTCATCTTGGCCCACGGGAAACTGGAGTGACTCACTTTCTGTCATTTTTACTGTGAAATATTTTACGTTGGTTCCCTTTAAAAATTTAAATAATTTTTTTACAATGTGTTTAGCCTACCTCTACCTCTATCTTATTAGAGTCTTTTATTACAGTTTATTCTTGAACGCAGGTTTACTTTTTTGCTCAAAAGTTTCTACCACAATGAGGTCACGGTTGGCAAAAATTTTGGTTCTACTCTACGATTTATAGACTCGTAGTTTTCAGTACTCAGGTGGAAACTCATAGCATAATGCAAATAAAAATACTTTTATATATATCAAGATAACATTTGTTTATCAATCAAATGGTGTGCTGCATGCTCAGTCGGTAGCGAAACAGACTTTAAAAATAAGGCAGCATAGGTTTTTCCACACTGGTACCGCCAATCAAAATGTATCTGTCTTGTTCTGTACCAGCTCACCACTTGCTTTGCTTGGTACATTCATTGTCCAGGCCCTTGAGATGGGCTTGGTAAAATGCAAGCTAAACATGCTGTCAACCTCCTTAAAAAGTTTACCCACTCTTTCATTCTAGATGGAATACAAGAAGCAGGTAGAGTTTTTGACCAAGAAGGGAGGTCAAGGACACAGTGAACTTGGTGACAACTTTACAGTATCTCAAACGCAGAAGACAGCTGGACAATTGCAGGCGCTGGAAAATGCTGTGGATATTAAGGTATCACATCTGGTTTAGGACTTTTATGTATGAGTCAATATTTAATAATTCCAGTGAATTAGCCACAGTAGGAATTAATTGGTTTTGTAAGCCTTATTCATGTACTAATTAATTAGTAAGTAGTTAGATTTGAGGTGTTATAATTGTGTATTGTAGCTTAAGGTTAACATTGAATAAGAAAATAGATTTAAATATCAGCTGTGTGATTCTATTGTTGCTTATTATTGCCGTGACTAGTTTCAACTAGGCATCTACAGTTGTTGTGGTGACATTTTTAATCTTTTGTGTCATAATCGCTTCATCAGAAGATAGTCAATTTACATACAGCAGCCTAAATTCATTTAAAAAGACACGTACACAATCACAATATAAAAAAAAAACCCAGTCATTAAAATGATGATACGGTATACAGTATTAAATCGAACTATTAAATCACTTTAACAACTGTATCAAGGTATGATGTGACATGCTCTTGACTCATGAAACATACATTAACCCATTGGGGAAGGAATTAATGCGCTACCTGCAGCACCTACTGGCGGCAATTAATTTTGCCGAATTTGTAGACTTTTACTTTAACTGCTATAGAAAGAAAACCTTAGGTAATAAATTAATAATTCTTTAACCATTTTGTTCACAGTAAAATTGTCTACAGAAAAGTGGTAATTGGATAGTCAAAGTTCTAAACTAAAAAAAAAATATATAGGCCTACAAAGATTATAAAAATAAAAATTTTAAAAACAATATTTTGAAAGTAAACTTGATATACAAATTCCAAGATTAATCCAGACACCAAATAACACTACTATTATAAAGTTCAATCAATTCCCTACGTAGAAAAATCAAAAGTTGTGTGCTTTTATAAGTAACTAGCTGAACCCGGCAGACGTTGTCTTGCCTTTGACTATTTATAATTTAAGTACCGTAACGTGTAATTGTCTTATTGTATATGAAGTGCTTATAACTAAATTAAAATACGTACGACAACTAATGAAACACATATAGTACAAAGGATAACCGATTCTTTATTATTGCTCTTATATTAATGCTAGTGGGTAGACAATATTTTTGGTCTTTCTATTCGGCTCAATCACGTCCTGGTTGAAGTTCGTTCGCTACGCTCACTCACCTTTAGGTTGGAGCTCGTTCGCTGCGCTCACTTGCCTTCAGGTTAGCTCGTTCGCTACGCTCATTTGCCTTCAGGTTAGCTCGTTCACTACGCTAACTCGCCTCCAGGTTGAAGTTCGTTCGCTATGCTCACTCACCTTTTGGTTGCAAATTAGCTGTTGTCATAAATGTAAAAGAAATAATAGTGCTGCACCCTGTTGGTAATCCTTGTAACTTTAATGCTATTGAACATCATAGAACAGAACCAACTTGTTTAATTGAAACAGCTGTTAAGATTCATTAATTCCATTTCTCATAAGGTTAACATGGGAAACTCCAGAGCCACTGGGGCGGAGCCGATTGGACGGATCACGAAATTGATGGTGTATAAACCTATTCCATGAAATTCTACACGTATGTACCAAGTTTCGTGGCAATCGGTTCAGCAGTGTCTGAGTTTATCACTGCCAAATAATATATATATATATATATACAAACATCCTCTTTTATACTTATAGATAACATTAAAAAAAAAAATTGTTTACCTTACCGCAGCTGATTTTTGGTGATATGTGGTTTCCATGGCAACACAAAATTGTTTGTTATTCGCTAAAATAAATGAGTAAATTCGCAAATCAAGAAGCAAGATATTTATAAACATTATAATAGTAAGAAGAAACAAAAAGGACGAAAAATAATAATAACTAAATAACTAATGGTGCTGCCTAGCGGTGACACGAGCGGCACTCGTAAGTCGGCCGCCGGGCCTGCAGCCGTAAGTCGGCGCCAATAGGTTAAAAGATACCAATAACACCAATTGAATTTACAATAAATATATGTACAAAAATAATATCTCATTTATCTTTTTCATAGGATACTGTTGGGGCGATCATCAATAATGATTTAAAACCTAACAAAAAATATAGATACTGTAGCCTGTTTGTTATCAATTGTGTTTCAATAGGTGGAGAACTTCAGCATCTCAGCCAAGGGAAATGACTTGTTCGTCAATGCAACTCTACTTATAGCAAACGGTCGACGATATGGTTTAGTCGGTCCAAACGGGTAAGTTCCTTGTTTTTTTTCACTTCATACCCAAAAACTTGTAAATGATATTAGGTTATAAAGAACCTAATTAGATATACCTACTAAAATTAATTAAATAGATTTTTTTAGGCGTGCCCTATAAGTTTAATGTATTTCATTGTTTCAATTTGATTAATAATCCAATGAAACTTACAAGATCATTCTGTTTTAGACATGGTAAAACAACATTGCTTAGGCATATCCAGAACCGTGCCTTCGCTATCCCACCCAATATAGACATCCTGTATTGTGAACAAGAAGTAGTTGCAGACGACTACACTGCTGTCGAGTCCGTGCTCAGAGCCGACGTCAAGCGGACCAAGCTGTTGGAAGAGTGTAAGAAACTTGAAACTGATCAAGAAAAAGGAAACACATCTGAAGAAGTTCGAGAAAGATTGACTGAGGTGAGCTAAGTTAGTTTGGTTAGAAAATATGATAAAGATTTTGTCCAGTGTAGTTTTTTGTGTCGATGCTATATTTTATGTTTTATAGCAGAAGGGTTCTATAGTTTGTTTTGATTTAGTAAATAACAAAAATGTCATTTCTCAATCAACTTTTCTGTATGGTGACATAAAAATTGTTGAAACGTTAGCGGATCTGTGATACGAAAGAATCAAGATCTTGCAACAAATTTTACAAAATGGACATTGTTGTAAGCAGATAGTAGTGGGGACCAATCTTGAAACAGCAATGTCTGGTTTCAGCATAAAACTATGACTGAGCTATCGTGTTTAATATCGATGTAATAAAATTTTAGAAAGCATTGTGTTGTGAACACAAATATTAACTTAATCATAGATTTTTTTAATATTCATAGAACTAACTTAAAACGAATTAATAATTCCAATAATAAATTAAAATGATTAAAATTTGAAATGTTCCTGATTAAAAAAAAGATTTCGTTATCATGCAGTTGTCAGTCATAACCTCTTTTGTACACTAACTACATCAACAAATTTTATATTGTTACATTAAATAGTGGTACTGCAATATAGGCCTATATTAAAAAATCTAAAAACAATCACATAGCCATCAGAGTCTTAATTTACCTTACTGTAAAACTGAGAGTCCAGCATAGTAGCAATAAATTAATTAATTTTTTTCATAGGCTAATCGAACCTAACCAAACCTCTGGTTTTATTTTTTTTGTCCTATCAGAATGTTATCAGATAAACATAACAAGTACTTAATCATCAACTATGTTGATTTAATTCCAGGTTTATGAAGAGCTTAAAGCGATTGGAGCAGATTCTGCAGAGCCGAGAGCGCGAAGGCTACTCGCAGGTTTGGGTTTCTCGCGTGCGATGCAGGACCGACCAACCAAAAGCTTCTCTGGTGGCTGGCGGATGAGGGTGTCGTTGGCGAGAGCACTGTATATAGAGCCCACGCTGCTGCTGCTCGATGAACCTACCAACCATCTTGACCTTAATGCTGTTATCTGGTTGGACAAGTGAGTTTTCTTATGGATCACGTAAACCTGTTTACAGAATTACCAGTTTGCATTAAGTTTAAAATTTAGCACCAACTTGGAAGTATAATTTTTGTTTAGTTGGTATCACTGCAACAATATCCGCTCTTCATGTTTATCAACAACTCAAAACATGGGTAACTGAGTGGATATACAGTAGACTCCCTCTAGTTCGGCTTTGGTTGGATCGGCCGGATGGTCCGGCCCGGTCTCAGGGGGACAAGTCATATCGTCACGGGTGAATTGCCTTTGACAGGATTCAACTTAAATGTTTAGTTTCCGGCCATAGAAGTAAACAATTCATGTCAGTTTAGTTGACGGGTGCTTCTATGGGTGAATTGTTGCATATTACCCATGTAAAACTATGTTACATAACCTCAAAAATACCGAGAACATTTTATAAATACGAGGGTTGTTTTTTTTCAACCTCCTACTAGACCTGTCGTTGATCATATCATTACAATCATCAAGAAATGGTCTCTAAGTAAGTTTTTTCTTTTTAAACAGCTGCTTTCCAGTCAGCAATAAAGATCAAATTACTGTTCTGTTTGTGGATTTTATTGTGTAACATTATGGTTTTAATTAATTTTTCATAATTTATTTTACAGTTACTTACAAGGCTGGAAGAAAACGCTACTAATAGTTTCCCACGATCAAAGCTTTTTGGACAATGTTTGTAATGAAATCATCCACTTGGATCAGCAGAAGCTCTATTATTACAAAGGGAACTACAGTATGTTTAAGAAAATGTTTGTGCAAAAACGAAAAGAGATGTTGAAAGAATTTGAGAAACAAGAAAAGCGAATTAAGGAACTGAAGGCTCACGGACAATCCAAGAAACAAGCTGTGAGTAAATATTTTGTTAGAGAGTCAATTACCTGATCTAACCAACTTTATCAAACAGTTAAATGACAATGTGCTCTTTTATTTGTTCCTTTATGTACAATTTTAGGTTGGATGAAAATTATTACTGTTAACCTTTGATGTACCACTTTATTATGTTTTTTTCTGGCATTTATTAACCTTTTTTTAGTCTAATATTTTGTATACACTCAGGGAGTGATTTTTTATCTTTATTTTAAATCTCTCTCCCTTTTTTGTGACTTCATTTTTATTCAGGTTTGTTTATCAATAACAAACTGTAATTTGACCATTTTGAGCAAGTACTTTCTTTAACTTTCTTATAAAATGGCGACCATACGAATATAGGTATTTTAAGCCAAGTATGTTATGGAGATGACTGTAGAATGATTGGCGCAATCTTGTAGTCTTGTTAGTGACTAAGGGTTAGTGACTAAGGCCGACATGTTCCTTAGACACGGCTGTTAATTAAAAGCCCATACAGCCAAGGGCAACTAAGGGACCTACAGTTTATAGTGGAATCGGAACCACATTTTTGCCTTGTAATTAACGAATTGGTCCAATTATCAGTACTGCGGATAGTCGTAGTACTCAATAGTGCAGACGATAATCCACGCCAGGGGGTATCGCATCCACAGTGCATGCCTATAAATATCCACCTAGTGACCTCTTAGTAGCTGGATTACTAAAAATTATAAAAAGAGTAAGTAATTTTTCATAGAAACCGTTTTTGCCTAACAGGAGAAGAAGACAAAGGAAGCACTGACCAGGAAGCAAGAGAAGAACAGGAGTAAGACTCAGAAGAATGAGGAGGAAACTACTCTACCAGAGCTGCTCCAGAAGCCTAAGGAGTATATTGTCAAGTTCTCATTCCCCGACCCTCCCCCGCTACAGCCCCCTATATTAGGACTCCACAGTAAGTTATGCTACAAAGCTGTTACTTGCATCTTATAAAAAAATTTTCATATATTTATTTATGCCATTCGTTTTAATTATTTTACTCAGTTTCTCTTTGGAGTTCATCTACTTTTTTACATACCTATCTTTATTACAGTAATTTGTTTCTTTGATTGTTTGATCTTATGTTTGAATAACTTTGTAGTAATTGTGCATTTTTTGCTATTTCATGAAACTCATTGGAGTGTTAAACCAATGTTAGTGGTTTCCTCGACAGCTGTATTTGGTGGTGTCATTGAGTATACACGTATAAGAGTTGTCACATAATGCTATTAGTTGTTACCGATTTTGGCGCTGTAGTTCGGGCCACTGACGCTTGGGTTGCGGTAGTCTGTTGGTAGTGCAGTACGCCTCAGAGGACCTTTTAATCATTTAGTATTAAAATATTTACTATAAAACAACAAAGCTAGAAACAAATAAACAAATTTCATCAACAAAAATGACATTTGACAACCTACGATGAAAACAATAATAAAAAAACAACCAAACTGCCTTACCCCGAAGCCCAAGGTGGAGTAGTTTGGACCTCTGACGCTACTCTGTAACACTCTGTTCAGGTAACAATAACCTCCATTGAGTGGCTACTCTAGTATGTGTATACTCAATGGTGGTCATTGATATAGGTTATTGAAGCGTCATACTTACAGTCAATAGTGGTATGCTGAGAGTGAAATTTCAGTTCGGATCAGATTCGATTCGGATAGATAAGGCACGGTTCAGATCGGATAATTAAACTTAGAGGTTTGGATTCACAGCTTACTCTTACTCAAACTTAACAAAAAGTACCATATATTATCTTGATGCAAACAACTAATACGGCTCGTCAATGTCTCAGTGAATATCTTATAATTGTGATATAAGTCTAAAAAAACATAGTATATCAGATAAATTCAAAAATTTAATTTAAATTTAATATTTTGAACTGAATCCGACCCCATTTTTCGGATATCCTTATACCTTTGATGCTGATAATTTATGAATCCACGCTCATTGCGCATCAAGTTTGGCCTGTGTTATTTAACGCACTTGTGTCGTTTCAAGTAGCAATCATGTATCTAAAATTTAGGCCTATAATGTAACACAGTAGATAATTAAACAGTTTGTTCAAATGATGTCTTTCAATTCTAAGCAACAATTGAATAATCTAGAAATATGTAACCGTTTTTTTACAATTTCAGATGTTACTTTTGCATACTCTAACCAGAAACCGCTGTTTGTAAATTGTGATTTTGGAATCGACTTGTCCTCAAGAGTGGCCATCGTTGGGCCCAACGGAGTTGGAAAATCAACATTTTTGAATCTCCTCACTGGAGTCCTTCAACCGCAACAAGGGGAAGTTAGGAAAAACCACAGATTGGTGAGTTGTCTATCTAATAACGTATTGGTATCTTGTGTGGTTGGTTGTTTCACAAATATTCTTCTTTAGGATATGTGGATGTCTTACAAAAGTAAATCACTATCAAATAAGCATGCAAAGTAAACAATATAATAATTTTTCAATATCTATGGACGAAAAACAATATCTGGGTAGCCAAGTGGTTACAGTGCTTGCTTTCAATTCTGAAGGTGGCTAGTTTGATTCCAAGCGAGATTGTTTCCAGACCCAGTTGCCATTTGTCATTGGGCGTATTAATGATGCTATCTAACAGAAAGGTCGATGTTAGAAAGTAACAAGACCAGGGTTTGGACCGTTCCCTTGCAAAACGTTAAAAAATTTCATGATGGATAGCCTCTGGATCATTAAAATTAGCAGAATATGGTTTATGTTACCTCGCCTAAAATGATCCCGTGTAGTTGTCAAACACGACAGCTGTTTCGTGCTACAATGAGCACATCTTCAAAGTGAAGAAACACAAAATTAACTCATTAAGCCCGCGGTTGAGCACGTCAAAAAACACATAAAGTACATGAAGTTCACACAAAAACACATATTACAAACACTTGGCCAAGTACCGCGAACACGCGACGCGGCGCCGGAAATGTGTAGGTCATGACTGGCGCGTGGTCACAATGGTATCGGAGACGTTCACTTCTCTCCCCATCACCTGTTGTTTATCAGGACCCTTGTGCTGATTGGTCGAGTTCATGATGCGGATTGCGGTGTTATAAATAATATTCGATTTAAATGACAGCTGCTCATTCAAGATATGGTCAGGATGTTCTCTAGCTGCTCTATAGATTTCAAATTCTTCTATTGTATCCATGCGCCTCTTGTTGTTGCAAAAATGCATGACTTCCAAATTAGTTTCTATGTCAGTGTAGTTATGGTTGTGGTTAATGAGATGGTCGGCAAAAGCGGATTTGTTGTTTCTTTTTGGTAAATGTTCTTTAAATCTGGTTTTGAATGAACGAGCAGTTTGCCCTATATAAAAACGTGGGCAGTTGTCACATTCGATTTTATAAATTCCTGTGCCATTCACTTTACCACGGGGATTGTTCTTGGTCCGTTGTAGGATGTTGGAAAGTTTATTGGAAGTTTTGTAGGCTATCGTAATATTATTTCGGATCATCTGTTTAGTTAGGGTATTATTTAGGACTGTGCCAAATTCAGCGCTAACATATTGTTTGTTATCTGTTGCGTTGCTTTGTCTAACATAAACCATATTCTGCGTTTAAAAATGCCACTGGCAAAGAAACCACACATAAACAGCACAGTAAAGGCTTAATTATCCGATTATCAGTTTTCACGCTCTTCTTTAAGTTTTGTGAGATTGATTCCTATTTCAAAATAATGTGCGGGTATACGAGAAAACCAATTTGGCCAACTCAGCCTAACTCTGAGGATGTATTAGGCTTTAGGAATCACTTAACACTAAAAGCTAATTGACATCTTTTAACACAAATTTCAGGTGAGATAATCTGTAATAACTGATATGCATAAAAAAAATACAGCAAAAGACAATGACGATAACGAAAATTTAACTATAAATGTCACATAACTGACTGGACAAGGTTCCCACTAATGAAATACTTTGGTTTAGCGTATCGGCAAGTTTGACCAGCACTCTGGAGAGCATTTGACCGCTGAGGAGACGCCTTCGGAGTATCTAATGCGGTTGTTTGATCTGCCGTACGAGAAGGCCCGCAAGCAGCTGGGCACGTTCGGACTAAGCAGTCACGCACACACCATCAAGATGAAGGACCTATCAGGTGGACAGAAGGCTCGGGTCGCCTTGGCAGAACTGTGTCTTAATGCCCCCGATGTTGTTATACTTGTAAGTGGTGGTTCTTAGACAGTTGTTTATGTTAGGCATGTAAACTGGTGAATTGTAGGGCCTACATCGTAGTAAAATATGAGTTTAATTTAACATTGACCAGATAATATAATATAATAGTAGGTTGGTTTATACAGCCAGATTGTTAAGCAGCCAGGGGCTTGGAAAGCCCGTGATGGTTGAGTATGAAGTGCTTGGGGTTCCACTATACTAAGCAGTTCTAGATGATTACTTGCACTGAGGTATTTGGATACAATTTTATTTATTTTTGTACTACGTATCATTTTAAAATTAATTTGTCTACTGTTCTAGGATGAACCGACCAACAATTTAGATATTGAATCTATAGATGCGCTTGCTGATGCTATCAATGACTACAAAGGAGGTTTGTTTATGAAAATAGTTATAAACTTTTACACACTTTACACTACTTTAGAAAAAGTTTAAAACACCCTAGAGATTAGTTTTACAAGTAAAGAAGTGAGTAAAATAGTGTAAGAAGGCCATATTACAGCGCCACCTTGGCCATTTTACCAGAAAACAAACGATAGTTTGTAATTAGATAATTCAGTCTAAAGATGAATTACATAGTAAAAGACATAAAAGGACATAACCTAAAAAACGTATTAATAGATGTAAAAATTCCGTCATCAATGGGTTAATCTATAGTTATAAACTTAAAACTTATTTCCAACACTGTATAAGCCTTAATCTCTGTTGTGTTGGCAGGAGTGATTATCGTATCTCACGACGAGCGACTCATCAGAGAGACGGACTGTACGCTGTGGGTTATCGAAGACCAGACGATCAACGAAGTGGACGGAGACTTTGATGACTACAGGAAGGAACTTCTCGAGTCTCTCGGAGAAGTTATCAACAACCCGAGTATTGCTGCCAACAATGCCGTCCAGCAATAGGCTACTTGTGATAATGGTATGTAGGCTTGAATTTTGGTGATTTGTATTATTTAATTGTTACATTTATATTTTTTGCATATTTTTCAGTATATTACTTTTTTTATTTCAGGAATCATACTCTGGTAAGAACCCCGTAAGTTATGTGAACTTTGTAAAGAAGATTTATCAAGACAACTCAAATATCTACACCTATTATCAGCTTGTATAATTTTGTCCTATTTATTCGGTATCATTGAATTTGTATTACATCAGGTTGTTAACAATATTTTTGAATACAAAATGCTACAAAATCCCAACCCTTGTTTACTTCAACCTTCTAAATCATCTAAAAAAAAAATACCCCCGCCGCAGCAAACCTGCAGACTAAGCGAATTTCAACTCGTCTGATTACATTTTTACTAAAATATTTCCATAAATAAGACATATTATTCCCTATTTAAATAACATTAGATTTAACGAGTGCTTAGGTTTGCTGCTACGGGGAAGGTAAAAAGTGTTTTTTGACCATACGTCAATAGTATAGGATGAAATAAATAAATTTTCCAAATTTTATCAATATATACCCATAAACAAGTAAACTACAACAATTTTCATTTTCTCCATAAGAATAACATGGGAATTTTTAATTACACTATTTTTGAATTTTATCCGTGACCGTTAGGCATACAACAGCGCTTCAATATACTAAATTATTTCTTTTTTTAAGCTCTACAAAACGGTTTAGAAAGAAAATTTTTTGTTTTTAGGTTCAAAAATGGGAAAAACCCATTTTTACCCCATAAAACACCCCATAAACCCCCGTTCCCATGGTCCGATTATGCTGGATCGCGAACTCGTACAAATAAACGTAGGTTTACACGTTTGTACCAAATTTAATCAAAATCGGATCATTTTTGCTCGAGTTATCGCGCTAACGGACACATATATATATATATAAATATATATATATAAATATATATATATATATATATATATATATATATGAATTTGAACGGATGGTGTTTTTGGCCTCTAGGGACCTCAAAATGAAAAATTAAATCGGTCTCGGGTCCAGGTCTTACCATGAGTACTACGGTAATAGCTTATTCCCTATATGGGAAATTCGCTAAAACACACCTAAACTACTAACAAGTAACTATGGGTGTGACTGAATGATAGATTACCGAACTGATAAGGGACTTAATCTATAAGACTATCAAGAATGACGTAAACCTTTGTAGCCTTAATCACTTCAATCAGCCAATCAGCAGATTCCTAAAATTTAATCACTACCTTGAAACTAATGACAATTCCCACTGCGGGCCTCGTTTTGCCAATGTTTACATCCTTCTACAATTACCCTATACCTATACCATACTGATTTAGGGGTGGACAGTAAAGACTTTAGAGAGCCTTAGTTTTTTTTGTTTTTAAATAAGTATTTATAACACAGGCCTAGACTCAAGGTTTAGTCAGTTAAAGCTGAAATTTGAATTCTATTAGGTTTTCTTTTTATTCAATTAAACTTGAATTGAGGATTAACTTAAATACAGCTAACCCATTTTCTATATACATTAAAAACTATGGATAGAAGTATTTTATTTTAAATTATAGCTATTATAATTCAAAAATGATAAAGGTTGCATAAATATACCAACAGAACTATGGGGTGGAAAAATTAATACATGGTAGACCTCTTTGACCTTTTAACATCTCTCTTCCTATGTATTTGTCTATCAGTTGCAAATTCCTCTTCTTTTTTCTTCCCGAAACATCGTCCAAATTCTTCAGCAAAAAAAGTGAAAAAGTTTAAATATTCCATTGGAAGTAATCGTTTCCGTTTTCCTATTTGGAAGTAGTGAGTGAACATCACAAAGAAAATTACTTTAAAAAATAAAGCCATTACACATAGTACAAAGGCGATCAGTTTTGTTCGATCGTGGAAATCTTGTTTGTATATACAGTTGTACATTTTGTAGTATAGAATATTCACACGGCTGTTGTAAAAAACTTTTCCGTCAATGGAGTAACCAATCATTCTCCAGACTAAATAAAAGTAATACAACAAGAAAATCAACAAAATGACAATCCATTGTAAAGAAAACACGAACGTGTGGTAATAGTAGAAGTAGTTCTCGCCGAAATGCCAGCTCACAAACAACCGGAACACCAACAAACAGAAGAGTATCCACAAAAGTGCCTTGGTGTACCGAAAATACTTGATCATATCTTCGAAATTGAAGAACAAATCTAGCCCTTCCCTGTGGAATTCCTCTACATAAATAGTAGAAACTTTCGTATGAATCAGATAAAATATCACACTTAGCACTCCAACAGCCACAACTAGTACTTCATAAATGTTTAGAAAATTCCTGAAAAAATTGAACAATCCATTTCTGTTCATTTTGTAAGCGATTCGTAAGGCCAAAGCAGCAATGAAAACTATGTAAATTAAGTTCCAAACACTGAAATCTTCTTTTGTGTGTACTGAATCCACCTGGAAGTAATAAAAAACATTTTTAGTAAATCTCTACTTCTAAATAATAAATAAATAAATTATTTACTTGTAGGTATAGTAAGTATAACAGCTATAACTTCTTTACATTTCAATGAATTATGGATTTATGTATACAAACATAAATCTGAAAATTTGTTAAAGATTGAGCGCGTTCTGGGAACATGTACCGGTGCACAGGTGCTGCACCGGTGCAAAAAATGTGTCGTTCTGGGAGACCGGTGAGTTAACCTAGCAGACAGCTATTTCTTCTTTTTCCTCCACCGGTGCAAGATTTATGCACCGGAGAAATTGTACGGTGCATAATACCGGTGGCCTCTGATTCGTCAGTTTCTTTGACAACAGCTTGCAGTTACGGCAAGATGGCGGGTCCACCGAATAATGTTCATTAGTTTTATAGGTTATGTTGCGTAATGAGTGAACCATTTGTTCAATGAGGGGGTTATATTACGTAATAAATGATAATTTTCAAATAATTTATTCCGTGAGGGCAAGTCTGTTTGATTTAAATATTATAAAGCAAATAGTAGGTGAATGTGTAAATTATAATCCGATGTGTACCGTAAACCGGTGACTAACCGTTCTGGGATACCAAGAATCTTGCCCCGGGGCGGCACCGGTGAGTAAGTGACTCACCAGTTAATCTGCACCGGTGCACCGGTGCACCGGTACATGTTCCCAGAACGCGCCCATTCTCTCTACGCCCCTAGGGTTGCCATCAACAGCTGTCCAAAATGTTACCACTAATGATTATTATAAATGTTATTACTATGCAGAGTGTCCACATTCTGGAAAGTCAGGGATAGTCATGGAAAGTCATGGAAAAAAATTGTGGTCATTGAAAGTCATGGAAATAGGCAAAAAGTCATGGAAAGTCATGGAAATCCCCAATGTTGGATGGATTTGAAGGCTCTAGACGGCCTTAACCCCGGCTATTGTAGCATTTTTCAGGAGTTTTCATAAATGTTTGACAATTCAATTTATAACAGTTGTATTAGTTTATTAGTTTTGAGTCTGTATTACCGTACTTCATTGTTGTACCTATTGTACTCCATTGTTATCTGTTAATACATAATTCAGTATTTTTTGCGAAATAACTTGTCTGGGCAGTATTATTCGTGTGTGTATGTTATATTATAATTTTCGAGTAAAGTTCATGAGTCATGGAAATCAATGGCTAATGGTCATGGATAGTCATGGAAAGTCATGGAAATTAATGAAAAATTTTCTGTGGACACCCTGCTATGCCTCTGTGATGGCCTAATGATGGTAAACTTTCAATCAAGAAACAAAATATTAATTTGTAAAACCTATTTTTTTCAAAATTTGAACGGAATTATGGTAATAGAGAATATACCATTTTTCTTTTATAATCAGAGGTGATGGGTAGCTGTTTTGAACAATAGCTTTGAATGACTCTTGAACCTAGGTCCATCATCCAATCCAAAGCATCGGTAACACTACTAGTGATTTAACTATTTACTTTTTTTACCCGCAATTGTTTTCTTTCCACTCTTTTGATCACCAAGCATCACATTAGTCTGTCTTAGAATCGTCTGAGTAGCCAAGTGGTTAATACTCGCCTTTAAATCTAAAGATTGTTGGTTCGATCCTAAGTGTTGTCAATTCTGGTTTCAAATACCTCATTGGCTAATCAATGATGATAACTAACTAAATTCAAGTAAAGTAGGTAGTAAAACGACCAGAGTTTTTGCAGTTCTATTACAAAAATCTTATGAATATCATTGGCGTGAAAACACAAAACATTCTTAATATTCCACTGTGTGAGCAAGCTGGTCAAGTGGAAGAGATCGAGACTTCGGTCCCCGAGCTCCCAGGTTCAAATCCCATCAGTCATCAATGGATATTATCTAAGTAAAAAATGCCGCAACCTCTAGGTCCAGCCTCAAGTAATGTAAAAAAACAATTTCGGGCTACAGCTAAAAAATATTACACTGTCACTTACGTTTGCAAGCGTCATGAAGAGCCCAGAGGTCATGTGTTCTATGATCGCCGTAACTTGACTGAACAAGTTGTTGTTTACATTGTACAGCGTCAGCTCAAGAAACACGGCTCTTGTACGATGATCGACCCAATGTTCCTGCTCCACTTGGATTGCGTACGATTTACTCTGATCTCTCTTGACGTCAAGAGGTAGAATGTACCCTCCGGAGGGATAGACAACTCCCGATTTCCCTAAAAAAAAGTATTTATTATTTATTATTAAATATATTTTTTTAAGTCAGCAACTCTCAATGTATTGGAATTGTATGTGTGAAGATATAGGCAACGTAGATAATGAACAGTTTAAATATGGTACTCAAAAGCTTTGATTTAATTGTGAAATAATTTTAAACTACTAAGTAATCTTAAGAAGTTCTTGGATTTTGTTTATAATTTGTAAAACTACAGCATTTTGTCCAGTAAATGTAAATTGACTCAACAAAAGTGTGCATTTTTCAACCAAACAAACATTTTTCACTGGAAAACATACGTATACAAAAATAAAATTTAATTTTGGAATCGCATTTGAAGGATTATGGATTTTTTTTCAAATCAAAGTAGTGGCAACCAAACGGCTGTGCTAATCATTGTGGTATGATGCTGTTAAATCAAAATATGACCAACCAATGACATAATCCATTTGATATGTAAGTACTGTATGTACGTGATTATATTTGTGATAATGAATCTCATTCCCATTCTTAGAAAACAATTTCTCACTGTTAACAGTTTCAAGATCTACCAAAAAACTGACTAAAACATTAACCACTATTTTGACACATCACTGTGCTTCAACCATAGTTCTTTCTATCCTCATAATTATTAACTGACAAGTACTAGACTCGCCAGTTTCAACCTCGAGTAGTATTTAAAGTAGTATAACAGATGTAATCTATTTCATTACAAATCAAATTGACACTCAGCCAAGGAATAAGCGAATATACAACATGAAAACTGCACAGCCATGGATTGATTCTTTGACACAAGCCTTCCAAAATTTCCTTTCAGTAATACAAACTACTTTAAACAAATTTCAAATTTGAAAAATTGTAGGCCTAGCTTTTGTTGGTTAGGTTAGCAAACGTCAAAGTGACCATACCAGATAATGGAAACACAGAGGTGTTCTTGGGCTCCTGATACATCCAGTAGGTCCGGTAACCCCAAGCATACGCAATCTCGTCGTCAAAGTCCGCCTTCTTCCATTGGACACCGTAAGTGTCAGTGTCCATGTAGCCCTCACTCCACGGTCGGATGCAATCCTGCACAGCGACTACCATAACGTGATGTACTGCGCAGGAACCTGGCAGACAATTCAACTAGAGTCAAAATTTTTGTAAATTAACTCAACAATGATGCAAAGAATTACATCAAACATTGCAGTTAAATGTCGACTCAAGTCATGGTAACCACTGTTGCAAACTAATCGTCTGCTATTGGAGTGTCAATACGACCTAAGAAACGTCTAGGATATGCTCATCATTATCATTTGAGACCGGACTCCACCTAGGTGTGTATTTTAAACCAAATATGAACGAAGGATGAGTGTAGAATGGAGTGAGATGGCTTGTGTAGCTTTGTTACTGACTAAGACCAGATGTTTCATTAGTCAGGATAATTTATTGAAAGCCCAATGATCTGGGACAGCTGGACAGTTTCAAACCATCAAAAAGCTACACACTTCTATCAGCAGAAACGTGTAATGGCCAATATCAGAAGTAGGTAGCTTGCAGTTGGTACAAGGTTTGGGCTTTCTCAAACCTATAATCAATGGTGTATCTCCTAGAAATCCAAGTTGGGGCTGGCTTCCGTTTCATGTGACTGAATCTGAAACTAAGAGAGACATACAGTAAACGATTTCTCTACTCTAAAAAATACAACCACTAGATTTGCTTTCTGTTAAGTACATTTTTAAAGAAGCTAAAAAAAAAAATATTCTTGGCACAAGTGTGCGATGATTCCCTAACTGATCCAATTTTGAAATACCAATACCTCAGCAGCTTATCTTAGTTGAGATACAATCTGAAAATTACAGTGAATACTTTTTATTATTTTTGCTATGGGACAGTTAAATAAATTATCTAGCAACCAAGCAATATAATTTAACTTACTGGCAACAATTCGTAACTGCCTTAGTCGTGGAGCTCCCACCATTTTGGATACAAAATCCTTTGTCCAGTCTTTTCTTTCAGGAGCGTCTGTAGTACATAACATCAAATAAAGTGAAATTTAGTTTGTTTTATTATCCATACAAGTGTTCTGTTCAATGAATGATAGTTTCCATTAAGCTTTTGACAGTTAACACTGACTAATACAGTAGTTATAATAACAGTCATATGAAGAACAGCATGGCTGTTTTTTTAAGGTTTCCATCAAGAGTTGTTCACTTCATTTCTGGGAGTAGATTATTTTCATGCAGCACCCAAAGATTTTAAATATTTATTATGTTTCATTTTAAGGAAAACTCGTTTACCTAACAATAACAATGAAGTGCAAAGCAAAAAAGTTTTTTTAATGCTAATAAGATTATTTAGTCTGCTTGTACTATTTACTTTAACAAAGTGTATTTTGTGGTAGGAGAACTTGTGAAAAAATTACCTTCTATGTGTGTTTCATTCTCTTATATAATGAAATACAGTTCAACTTGTATTCATTGTCAAAAAGGATTGAATAAAGAAATACAATTTGTATTCTATCGTAAAACAAATTTAATTCAATGTTAAACAAAAAGAGCTCATAGGCTTTCTCAGTTGAAACTCTTACGTAAAAAATTAATGAACATAAATTTTAAAAAATGGTGCATTGCCACACTATACCTGGAGGACTTAGTGTTTGGAAATTCAAATCATTAAACCATCTAAAAACAAACAAGGACCGCACAAAAGTGTTCTGTAGGTAGGTAAAGAATCTGTAAAAAAACAATGTATTAACCCCTAACAACATATATTAATTAATACCTTCTAATTCAGGGGAGGGGGCATGTCCGTGGAAATGACAGAATTACACTATTTTGGACATTACTGGAAAAAGAAAGCAGGCCAAAATTCGGCCTTGCATATACCCCTCAAATGCATTAGGGAGTTTGTTGTAAACTGCTCGTTACAGAAATAAAGACAGTTCAAGATTGATAAACTTCCACGGAAGCACATAAACAGTTTAAGACCTACCCTTTTTTCAAAAAGTGCCATTTGTGGACTGGACATACAATTAAAATGTAAATTATTGGCCGTAAGGTCGTATTAACAATTAAATAAATTGTTTTATGTTATTGAAAGAGTTGGATTATATCATAGATTTACTTATTTTCCTTCATTTTCATTATTTATTAGTTTTCCTGAGTAAAATGTTAGTTAAAAAAAAAAAAACTGATGCACCTCCAAGATGTTTTAGCATCTGAATGAATATGGATCAACATAGACTAAATATACATAAAATAACACACAAAACATAGGATTTCAAATCAACAATGAAAGAAACTTGAGTAAATTTCCTGTTATTTTCAACTAACACCATTTTACTTACTGTGTCCGATTGTAAACATCCTGCAGTGCGACAAATCGGCCATTATATTTGGTCATCATCATCTCGGCAGCATGAGAGTTAGGATGGAAGTGTGCTCCGCTCCACAGAATTTTCATAATGTAGCACAGAATCAATATAAACGCCAGCACGGCGAGAAAATCTAAAATGATTCTCCACTTCATTTTCCTCATGGCCTTTCTTCTTTTTTTCTAAAAAAATTAATTGTCTTGGGTTCATTTGCATTACATTTTTTACAGCTTCTGAAACGAATCATATGTAACTAGGCTGTACGCTTTTACTAACTTGATACAAGCTTTTATTTTCACAGTACAAATTCAGGATTTCTGTCCCTGTATTTTTTGTTCTAAATATTCGTACCATTGAGGGGTTGTTCATATCATAATGTTCCCCAAAGAGCTCACATAAAGATGATAGGTGTTAAAGGAAACAAATCAATAATGATTTCAAGGAGAAGCTTCAATTGACAGTTACATATTCTAAAATTAAAACCACAGAAGATACTATGCATTGAATTGCTTCAATTATCTTTTTCTTTACACTAATGTACTGTATTATAATCTTTTCATATTTTGTACCAACCAATTTAAGTTATGTTTGATTTTAATTAATGGTGCTTACCTGTATATATAGTAATTTAAAATAAAATTATTGAATTTTTTTTAAACACCATCTACTTACAGCTTTAACTTCATCTGTCATGGGGTAGTATATACTCTTTGTTCGGTACTCTATTAAATTATCCAAGTATTTTTTATCTCCAACGAGGTCACATTTAACTGCCTTGTTGACATCAAGTTTGAACGCAGAAATGTCAGTTGTTCTCTAAAGAAGAAAACAATAAAATATTAGTCAAAATTTGTTCTTGGTTCACAGATTTCACTAGTAATTTATTTCATCTCACTTGGTTTACAGACATACTTCATTTGAAAACCTGCTGCACACTTAGGCTAAAAGGGTAAAGTGTACAACAACAAACTACCAAGAAGGCAGTAGAATTAGGTATGCTAAACAATATTTTATAGTAATGTGAAGTAAAACTATTTACAAATAAAAAAATTCTTTAAACTGTGATTTTACCCTTAAATATGCTTCTACTTTAAAACATGCTTCATGGATTATTTCCTTTAAAAAGTAAAATTCAATGTATCAATCAACCCTTGTTTTGATTAACACAAATAAATTATTAGATTAAAAATGAGGCCTGTCATTAATATTTAAATTACATTCGTTAAACTTGTACACAATTTGCACGCCTAATTAATTAAATGGTACCATGACCGTTTTCGAACCATATTCTTACACAATATAGAAATAAATCTAATGTCACTGTCAAACATACAAATCCTCTCACCTCAAATGCAGCTGATAATAATAAGGCAAGTATCAGTATTTTCAGCGGAGAAAAGATGAAAATATCTTGAGCTTGTGCTGCCACCAGGCTGCTTAACCATTTTAAGCTTTTTACTTTCCCAAACTTAAGACTGTATAGCATAACAAGATATGCACATATAATAATCACTAGAATTGAAAATACCCTGAAAGAAATTACCGAATATTAGTAAGTTGAATAGGTGTTTACCTAAAGATATCCTTTTATTGAGTGAATGAATGAAGAAATACACTGTATATTGGGGAGGGAAGATTAGTTAGCTCCCTGCTTGTTAAAATATCTTTGTAATGAAACCGATTTAAAAAACAAAATACCCCCACCACAGCAAACCTGAAGACTAAGCGAATTTCAATTTGCCTGATTGAATTTACTCTAAAATATCTCCTAAAAAGTACCACATTTATTCCCTATTTAAATAGCTTTAGTTTAACGAGTACTTAGGTTTGCTGCAACAGGGAGGGTAGGTGTTTTTTTTTTTTTGTAAAATGTTAATAGTTTAGTATGAAATGAATTTTTTTTGCATTTGAATGCTTGCAAATTTGATAAAAATATGCTCATAAACAAGCAAATTTTAACAGTTTACAATTTTTTCTATAAGATAAAGTTGAAATATTAAATTACAAATTTTTTTGGAATTTTCACCGTAGCCATTAGGCGCATAATAATGCTGCAATATAATTTTTTTTTTATAAGCTATACAAACAAATGGTTTGGAAAGAAGTTGCTAAATTTTATGTTTTTATGGTTAAAAATAAGAAAAACCAAATTTTCCCCCTAAAATAATAATTTTTTTCCCTTATAGTCCAATCATGCTTGTTTGCGAACTCATTAGAATTGAAGGTTTACACGTTAGTACCAAATTTCATAAAAATCGGATTTTTTCTTTCTCGAGTTATCAAGCTAAAAAAACACTGAACGGACTGAAACCAGAATTTGTAGACATTAGGGCACCGAAAAGCCATGGATTTTAAATAAAATCATCCTTAATATATCAACTTATGACAAATTTTAAGGTGTTTTATGAGGTAAAAATAGAGTGTGTTGTCTTATATTTATTTTTTGTTATTTCGCTATCTATTCATTACGATCTAATATATCTATTTTAAAACTAATGCTTGTTTTTGGTTATACAAAAATAAGAGACAAACATTTAGTCAAGAATAATGCCTTCTATTAAAAACCAAATAACCAAATAAAACCAAATAAACATAAAACCAAGCTTCTGGCTTGAATATAAAAAATTCTACTTGCAGTATCCAAGTAAAAAAACATAAATAACTAACCATGCCGCTATCAACCATCCTTTGTTCACTTTTATTTCCGAGCCTTCAGTAGCTAAATGAACAGGGCGAAGAGTCTTGTGATGAACACAGTTTCTGATGGCTGCGATGAATGATTCATACATAGTCATATCTGGTGGAAAACAGGATCAATGTGGCAGTAAAAGTATAAAATATTCTCTTATGCTATTTTTTTTAGAAATGAATCAACCTGTTAACCCTTTGAGGTTGAATTTTTTTTCTTTTTTGGTGAGTATAGGTTGCCGCCCGCCATTTTCCTGACTGCTCAAAAATGGCGACAAAAAAAATCAAAAAAGTTTATCTTTATGGTCCAATGGCGATCTTTACTGCTCAAATGGGGACCTATACTCGCCGAAAACATGAAAAAAATTCGACTCAAAGGTTTAAGGTTTATAAAATAAATATTGCTTCCAAAACACTATAATCTGAAGTTGTAAGCATGTTTGAAGATAAAAACCCCCATAGTTGACTCAATGACACAGGCTATTTTCTATTTTTATGCCTTCCCATCCTAGCTAGCCGAAACCATTTCAGGCGTTATTTCAGGCTTGGCCTAGAGGGTTGAAACATTATCACTGGGATCAAATTGAACCCAGAAAAAACTCTAGCCACGCTCTACCAATAAACCAGCTTGCTCCTCACCAATGTGTACCATATGAATAAATATAAATTCAATAACAATTATAAACTCATTTTTAACAAATATTATAAATAATATTACATACCTTTGCGTTTTTTTGTTGGCTTCTCATCGTAAGCTATGAAAGTAGACAAGTCCACAAACGCTGGTTTATCAGAAAACCAATACTTGTCCGTTATTGACGATCGTTTCCTTGGCATATACAATGTACTACGTTTGTTGTTTTGATAGTCTCTTTGCTTATATCCTTTCCTGAAAAAATATAATTTAAATATATATTGCTAATTAATTAAGTGTTAGACAAAAAATTAGAATTTTTTGCATATAATGTTTAACTTTATCTTAAAGAGCTTTGATCCAGTGACCCTTTGGTGATTACTCTTTTCCGGACTCCTCGGAACCGAAGCCAGTCCGGATATTGGTTTTTCTGGTTAAACCGACGTCCCCAAAAAGTCGTTTGAACGGACCGTTTAAATACATACTGTATACAGTATTTGACTTCAATTTAGGATAGCATTGTATTTAGACACGTGATCACTGGTCTCAAATCTTTCCCACGAGAACAGTCGTTTCAGTACTGCCCACTTCCTGCCGATCTAGTCCGGTTAAACCGATGTGCTGATAAAAATCTTCCAGTTAAAGAGATGTCATTTTAGCCGAGTGTAGTCCGGTTAAACCGATGTCCGGTTAAAAGGTGTCCGGATAAGAGGGAGTCTACTGTAGTTATCAATTATCATAGTTTTAATTAAGTGTTGCTAAATGTTATTTGTTATGTTTTATTCTCTTTTATCTGTTCGTCTGACAAGTATACATTGTACTTTTCCTTTTATATGAATGAATGAATAAGTGCCTTATTGTTGCTTTTGTTTTTACATTCACAGATACCACGCAGGGCATATGCTTAACAAAACACTTCTAGGCATTGCCCGGAAGGGCCATATCACGATAAAAACTGAGAAAAATAACAAAAAGCTACTAGAACAACAAATACAGTTTAATTTTTTAATTAAATCAATAAAACAATACAGCTCAACTTATTGAATGAAAATAAAAGAAAAGCAAATAGTTCGATTTTTAAGAAAAGCAGATTACAAGTTGCATTGGCACTTCAAAAATAGGAGAATTGTAAATTTAAAAATCAAACTCTTCTACTAGTGCCCATCTGTGTTTCCAGGCTTCCCTTAAGAAACCTGCCAATACCCGCCAATCCATGCCATTCAGATGTCACTCAAATTCGAATTTGCTTAAACTAAATGCATTAAAATATTTTTTCCTTATACAACCATTGGCACACACACGGACACAAAATGAAAAACGCACAAAGACAAATTGACTGAGAGGATATGGAGTATCTCTGGATCCAGATGTCGAGTTAGGACTTTTCCTTTTATTCAGCATGTTATTGTATTTCTAGTGTTCTTTGACGTTGTCTATAATAATAAATAGATTATGATTCTGAATATGTCAGAGTCCTGATAAATGTCATCTCCAGAATTTAATATTGATCTGATTCAATTTGATATATTGACTTTATGTTTGCTTTGGCTTTCACTAGGCACAGATTTTAGAATAACAAGTTGAGTTAACAACCTATTTTTTCAACAGCAGAAAATAATATATACAAGTAAAGTAAGTATTACACATTCTGTGATGCTTTATTTTATATAGTGCCACACAACAAAATCGCCGGCCTTTCCTATCAGCGTGCCACTTTCGGTCTGCAGCTTGTTTTTTTCTTAGAAACGGTCGAGGAGCTAGTGAATAGAGAATTCCTCCGTCTTGTGTCTCGCCGGTATTTGTACAAGTAGCAACGTCATGGCTCTCTTACATATCAGGATAAGTCTCACATATGAAGTAGTTGTAAAATTAATGGCAGGCTAGATTAACAATTTAAAGTTTTCACCTCATTCCCAGACATGTAAATTCCAAAATTATGACTACCTCATTTAACGAGGTAATTCTTCCTAGACATGCAATAGTCACCAAATTGAAACCTCAGTAATAAATCATTCAGGAAATGATTTAGAGTCCAGATATCTTCAGTTAGGTGTTAATAAACGCAACAGACCCCTGTTATTATCGTCTTGCAATATAGCGGACTTGTCAGTATATTTAATAATTTTGTTTGGAAGGGTAGGTTTATTTCAATGTTGTAGTTAAATTTGTTAGTTTCATCCTTCGTAGTAATCAAAGCTGGCTTGGCCTGCTTCTGGTCTGGGTAAAGATCTCCGCCCTCTGGTCCCCAAACAGAGTTTCTAATTAAATAGTCATTTTATGAAGGTAGCAGAAGATAGCAAGCTCTTAATTCCAACATACTAGGGTCCTCCAGGCTCTAGCACAACAGTCAGACAACTATATATTTAAACCAATTTGTAATGAATATATATATCGCATTATTACTGTTTGATACTCTTTGCCATGTTCTCATATTGCTTGTTTCCTCTATTACATATGTATTGGAATGATTTAATTTAACATCTGTTATATTAATTCTTTTTCTAAATATACACAATTACAGTCCACTTAAAGCTCTTTAGTTTATTTTTTTATTATAAGTTTATTTCAACGCAACACAGTTACCTAACAATTACCAATATCACTTATCCCTTCAATCATCAACCTACGTCCGCCCTCCCTGGCTACAATTCTTAATTTGTTTAAACTTGCTTTTAGTTTGGGATTATATTATTTTAAGATAGTAAGATTTAGTCTACTTTGTGGAAATACTTACCTAAAAAGAAACATTGCAATAAAGGCAAAGACTGTGGAGATCACAAACGATTGAATACTTATCATGAGCTCTCTTTGACCAAAGCTGTAGTGGTACTCATCAACGTTTTCAGCTAAAAAACAATTCAACACAGCAATTACGATTGGTTGTTTCATTGGTTTAAGACACAAATCATTTTCAGAAACTATTTTTGAACTATTTTCAAATGTATTTGAAAAAAAAAATAGAAAACTACAATAAAATAAAACAGTGGATGTTTTTATGAGACTTTTTCTACTGGTCTCTTCCAAAAACAACAACAACAACACAAACATAAGGCTCAACAATTCTTAATTCACATTATTTTTTTTAACAAACAAGATTGTTTGTTTAGCAATTAAGTAAATACTTGACCTTAATCTGTATAAATATTTTTGGTTTGTTTTAATCTTAGCTTATAACCATAGACTAAGGAACCAATTATAGACCTCTATCGGCAGTTGCGCTTGGTTTAGTTCAAGGGATGGTCTATTGTCTGTAGTATAACAGATTTACATTACATTTTTTAAATGCTTACTTTGCATTGTCTATCTTAATTTTCGACTTCAATCATAATTAATTTTTAACGACACAAAAATTTTATAAAATTAAAATAAAGATAAAACCAAAAATGAGGACTATCACCCACACATTATCACTGTTGTTCAGGTGTTTCAGCCATGTTTTTTTTTTCATTACAGGTATAGATTTTAGGATATGTATAAATATAACTATATGATTTGTGCTTGTCTTTTATCTTTTATGGAACAAACTATTAAAATTAACTTAGTAATAAATTGTAACCACATTAAATAACTGCAGTAATACCAAATTTATCCGTAACTTTGAAGAACATAATGCTAGCCAACATGGCTGACATTATCAAAACCATCAGGACCATCAAACGTTGTTTTCTAGAGACAGGGCTCCTCGGATGTCTGAAAACCAGACAACAAGTGTAAACGCAGTTGAACTAGATTATGAATAAAGCACATGGATTTCAAAATTAAAATTATTAATGACAGACACAGGCAAAACAGGCTACAATAAAAATGTGGTAATTTAAGATCACTCAAATTCTTGAACCTGGGTTGAACATTTTTTTACATTTTCTTTTCAGTCATTTTTATTTCACAACTCTTGTTTTCAGTATACAGTAGAGTATAAGTTTTTCATGGTACAAATATGTTTGAATGACAATGCCTTAATGATTCTACACGTACAAATCAAACACACTACTAATTCAACAACACTCATCATTGTTATAGTTTTGCTAATATTACACTATGTTAGAATAACATTTATTACTTACAGTATTTACTGAGACAAACAAGTTTTAAATAGTCATTACCTAGCCAGGATGCTCAGGTGCAAATGATTTTCCCTAAAGCCGAGAACAGAGTTGTCCAGAAAAATCCGCTTGATACTCAACACCTCGTCCGTGGTTGCCGGTCGAACCATCGCTTCCGGAAACTCGTCTACCTCCAATGCCAGCCACTGGTCCATCACAAACAGGTACTGGGTCGTGGCCTGGAGGTCGTACACTATAATCTTTGAGCAGTACCTAGAATACATTGCATGAATTCATAAGTTAAACTTTTTTGAAGTGGATAAAAGTGATTATTTTAGGGTAAATGCTTGGTATTAGCTTTAACTGTAAATAAAACTCTAAGAAGACATTCTGTATGAGTGGTTAGGGCAAGAACTTTCAATCTGAGGGCCAGTGCTTGAGTCACACCAATCAACAATTGATTTCAGTATCTGATAATGCAAAAACCCAGTGGATCAGAGCCCATCCTCAGCTGTCGGATAACAAACCACAAACAGCATAGGCCCCTCAGTAACTTTCACTGTATTAAGTAAATACCCTCACTAAAAACCATTTGTTAATTTGTTAATGTAGTATGCATTACATTAAGGGAATAGCAATTATAAGCAAACATAGTCTTTATGGTAAATCATATGATCTGTGCTTTTTTGTTTCCAAGAAACCAAAACATAGATTGTTCAATTGTAAATTTTGAAGCTTGTTTTTTGTGTCTAGTTCATGTAAGGCGACACTAGGCGCTAGTGTCAACAACATTTTGTTTCTATATTATTATAAGGCCAATTTTTTATGGCTAATTCCATGATTTGAGCTTTACTGTTTGGTTATATAGCTATAGAGCGGGCGAGTTATTGTTTATGATTAGATTGTATTATTTTGTTAAACGAGGATTAAAAATACTTAAATAACAAGAATCAAATTGTAAAAAAAACATACGATTCAAGATTTACCAAGCCGTTCAGTATTATTTACAATAGGCCAAGTCACACAACGTCTACAGTGCACCGTACAGAACTGACAATAAAATTGGCTTCAGCTGTTCCATAAGGATGAAAATTCTACTATGGGAGTATGTTTTATCTATGATATAAAACTGTTTGAATACAAATCGGAGGAGTTAAGATCATCTAGTTTTAGAGCACGGCTTCTGTCAATATTCTGCTGGTTAGCCATAAGGGAGCATTTAATTTTACTGATTTAAAGAGCCGATTGTCTTACCAGTCGGGGTTCCTCCCAGAGTTGTCATGCCAGAGTTGCACAGCATTGAGCATACCTAAGGATACAGGATAGCACAATAGAAACCAGTCATCATTGTCTCTTTGTAGAACTCTCCTGGTCTCGCACTTCAGGACGGTTGGCTGCAACAGTTGTTATCGGTATTATAATTATCAATTGGGACAGAAACCCAACAGGGTGTAACTTAAGTCAAATATGAGAGCAGAATGGGAAAAATTGCCTTAGCCCGGATAAAAAATCTACCATAAGGGGATATTTTTTACCTATGGTATCTTTTACTGTACGGAGTTCATGTTTTTGGGAATAATTTTTGAAGCACTACGGCACCTGTAAAGGCCATGCTTTGTTGCAGGAATGTTTTGCTGGTTTTGGTTGGATCGTTTTGATTCAGTCCCATAAACGTGAGCACTCTATTTAATACATAAAATTGCTAAAAGGGTAAGTGCTAAGACAGCATTTCCTTAAGGCCAGAACCAAGTAAATTCTTTAAAAAACTTGCAATGGTACAATTCCATTGTGGAGTAGTGTTTAAGCAATTAACATATAGGCCTGATATAGTTTTTATCAAAGGTACGTAAGAAAGTAATGACAGGACAAGGGGCAAAAAATTATGGGGCCTAGGGACGCCAAAATACTAAATCCATTATTGTGGGTGCTTGGTCACTCTAAGGTAACATTGCTGCTGACTGGCTAGCAAATGCTTCTACGACAACTATGATCGGTTCTCTACCCTTCTGAGGCACCTGTGTGCACCTCAAGCGTGTCATGGGCCACTAAAAAACATTGTAAGAGAAGGGCTGAAGCAATCCTTTTTAGAGTAAGTAAGCTCACTCCTCTCAAGGGATTGCCTCAGATTCCCTGAGGTTGATTAGGGGAAGAATTGGACAAAACATTAGATAGACAACAGAAAGAAAAACTATGGAGCTGATTACTTGACCTAGGCTTGTCAAAGAGCATTTGCCTCAAATTGGTCTGTGTGAAGTGTGGGAGGTCAGAGAAAACTGTTTTCACCTGATCTTTCACATTGAGGAGATCTCAGAGGTAAGAAGGACAAATCTTGGAAATCTGGTTAGTCGCCTTCCTGAGGAGGAACTGTTCAGTGCAATGCAGGCATTAGGTGCCTGGACATTGGAGGTCTCTGAATATCTCAACATTGGGGTACGCGATGATTAAACAAATTCAAATGAAGCGCGTTGAGGCTTTGGCCCGTCTCTCATAGATGACATAAGACATGATAGTCAGGACCATTTATAAAAAGCCCAATAAACAGAACTAAAGCACCTCTAGACCAACTTGCACTGTAGCCACTCAATATTAGCATTATGTCGTATAACATATTTTTTGCCATACTGCAGCAAAAACAGCCGTTTTTAATACATGAGTTGTGGGTCATAAGAAGCATTTTTACTCTCTAGGGAGAAAAACCTTTAAGCCCCCATTTTAAAGCTGATTTCATAAATAGGTGCGCACAAAACTTTGCTTACCCGAGTGGCGTAGGTGTCTCCATAAAGACGAAGGCCAACGACAGCAGAAGTTCCTGCTGTTAGACGAGACCCAGTGAATACAGCGATCAAGTAGGCATAGCTCTCTCCTGGGAAATTGTCATGGAGTACGATGACATCGCTCTAGGACAAAAAGGAAGTTATTAGCGACAGTACTTGATCATCCACAGGCAGGGTCAGATTACAAAATGGCCAAATAATCATAAGGTTGGATAGTCAGGACTGTATTTAATTCCCTGAAACACACAAAACAGCTTATTGATCATAATTAATTAATTACCAAATAGACTGTGCTCTGTGTGTGGGGACTGGGAATAAGTTAGTTTATGAAAACTATTGCACTGTTATACTTGTGCAGTATACAGAAACTGGGATAATGTTTTAAAGATATGACTTTCAGGAAATAATTTTGAACTAAAAAAAAATCACCTAAAACATTTTGTTAAGAAAAATAAGTTAGTAGCTAAAGTAATGGTGGTGTTGAAAACCGTCTTTAATGCATCAAAACACATTGTCTTAAAGAAATACTGGTTTTTGACATCCTTGTACACATTTAGGTGTGTTTAAAATCAAACAAATTATTTATACAATAGGCCTACATAATGCAATGCATTGTCAACTTTTTAGCTCAATAAAATTATTTGATTTGATATAATAGTTATTGTAGCTCATTAAAAATACTTACACAAAGTGCGTCCTTCCGATCTTTTCGATAAGCCCACAAAAGTAGCAGCAGAAACAAAAGAAGGATAACAATCACAAAAATTACCACATAAGGATTTTCTGGAACTGTGAGGAATAGAGGTGCGTCTAAAATGGGATTGATGTCGTTTGGTGGAACGAAAATTGAACTTGAAAATATCGACAAGTGAGTGCACTGACATTCAACTGTCTCTTCCGATGTTTTTGGTCCAACCTGTAAATGTGTAAATTGTATTTATATAAGTTTAAACAAGATTGAATAGAATATGTTGCATGATGATGAATTTCTGTTTGATCCTAGCTACAGCTGTTTTGCGCTTATCAAAATTTAGCACAACTAGTTAAAACTCGATCTGCCTAAATATCTTTCAAGGTTTTGTTCATCAAAAGATGATGATGAAAATAAAAATACAAACGCAAACAAAACTTTAATTAATACTCAATTTTCACCACGAGGAATACTAAGCTTCTTGGTGGCCTTCTTTACATAATATAGTTTTGACAACAAAAAGTTACTTACATTTTTTGGTTAATTGGAAAAAACTAAAAACAAGAGGCGATTAGTTATATACCTATAGCATATTGTTTGATAAGGATAATTTGGCTTTTGCCAACCAAGTGCAAGTTGCCATTAGTGTATTACCGGTACCAACCAAACACTGCTTGAATGTATTGATTTGGTCACTAAATTAATATTTTTAGTATTATTTGTTTTGTTTTTTGTATAAAAATTACAATTAGGAATAGTCAAACTCTAGTGATTATTCATTATGATACCATTGACTTATCGGTCAAAGATGATACCCTTTGCAATCAAGCATTTGAAAAGTAGGAGCGATTTACTTACCAAACAATAGTGATTAATCCACTGATTTTCCCAGATATGGCAATTCACAAAATGAAGATCAAAAGAATAGTCAACCGTGGAATTTACTGGAACCTAAAATATAACATAAAAATTACTAAAACTAATTACAATTCCAACTACCTCATTGTTACTGATGACGTTAACGTATGTACCTTAGACATTAAATTGAATAGTCCATCCACTTCTACAACATTCAGAATGAGAAACCCAAAAACAATTTGTTTACTAGTACAAATTTTATATATGAAAAAGCTATAGATAAAATTAGCAAGCCAATCAATAAGCCAATCATCAGTCGGAATCCAGCCAGTATGGCTTTTAATAATAACCAATGAACTGAAGCGTAAGGAAAAAAAGGTCTTGGGAAATAGGAAAACTAAAACACCTCTTCAACATTCACACAAAATGTTAACTGAAATCACAAGAAAATATGTAAATGCCAAATAAAAAGTCAAAATTCTCCCTTTTTATGTGGCATGTTACGTCACTCCGCCTTGGGCGATAGAGTTTGTTTCACATCCGTGAAACCCATTTTTAGATTCCGTCGCTATTACTTCGGTAATTTGCCTGACGGTATCTCAGTCTCGATTGAGCCGTTATCTTGTGATTACATGTCCATTGTATTCTCCTAATTTTGTCTGTTATTGTTATACTGTTTAATTAAAGGGGTATTTTTGGACTACTATACAGTTTTCTGTGTGGTTTATTGGTATTTTGTTGTTGTGATTTCCTGTTTCAGAGTGGTTTATGTATCTTTTTCATTGCTATAGGTTCTTTTGCAACACTCCGGAACAAAATGTTTTGAAACCCTCACTTTTTACTAATCGCAATAAAAAATTACAGCAATCATCTCTTAAATAACATGGCTATTTTTTAATACTAGGAATATATATATGTATTTTTACCTAAATCTACTGATTTATTTTGATCAAATCAACTACCAATAAACATGAGTGAAAGTATCAGTTTTGCTCCTAGCCTGCAATGTTACTTTTACTCATCGCTAGTAACATTTCATAAACAGCTGATTCTCGTGGTGAAAACGTATACTCACACTTTTATCTGGAAGGATTCCCATGAAGTAGAAGTGTTCTCTTTCAACAATGTCATATGGAATAACCACGTCTGGGTTTTGTTGTGAAACAACATTAGCTCCAGACAAGGCCTCCCAGTTAGGTCGCTCGTTAAAATTAATCAATACCTGAAATTTTAGTCAATTTAGTTGTTGTTGTTTAGTTTGTAACAATTGTTGTTGTGATAATTTCTTAGTTGATTTCTATGAGTTTTGTTTTAATAGCGATATCCTTATTTAGTAGAAATTGACTAATGTTTCTGCCGCTACTATATAAGCAGTATTCTGAGAAGGAAGGAGAAAAAATGCCTTTATCTATGCAATTATTGAGCGACATCCGCCCTATCCTGCACCTTGGTCATCAATGTGCAGGAAATTGGGGAGCGAGCAGGCCTATAGAGTATGTGACTTCATATTTCACCAATCCCCTATGGATTTTATCGAAGTGATAATATCGTTACACCTAGACTTAGCCTGAAGTAAGGCAAAACCCAATTCCTGGGAAAGAGCCATAAAAATACCCCCGCCGCAGCAAACCTGCAGACTTAGCGAATTTCCATTTGCCTGATTGGATTTAAACTAAAATGTCTCCTTAAAAATATCACATTTATTCCCTACTTAAACAGAATTAGTTTAATGAGTACTTAGGTTTGCTGCAACAGGGAGGGTAAAAAAGTTTTTTTTTATGTAAAAGGTTAAAAGGTACTGTGGTTTAGTAAGAGATTAATCTATTCTCCAAATTTGATCAAAATATGTTCATAAACAAGCAAACTACAACAGTTGACTTATTCTCCATAAGAATAACATGGGAATTTAAAATTACAATTTTTTTGAATTTTCTCCGTAACAATTAGGCGCATAATAACGCTTCAATATACTAAATTATTTGTTTTTTTTAAGCTCTACAAAATGAAAGAAATTGTCAAGTTTTGTGTTTTTAGGGTCAAAAACGGGAAAAACCTATTTTTACCCCATAAAACCCCCCATAAACCCCCACTCCCATAGTCCGATCATGCTGGTTCGCGAACTCATTCAAGTTTATCCCGCCTTACACCTTCAAACCAAATCTTATCAAAATCGGAAAAAAATTACTCAAGTTATCGTGCGGATGGACATATATATATATCTATATATAGATATATAAAAATTTGAACAAATGGTGTTTTTGGCCTCTGGGGACATCAAAATGAAAAAGTAAATCGGTCCCGGGCCTAGGTCTTACCATGAGACCTACGGTAATAGCTACTTCCCTATAGGGAAATTCGCTAAAATGGCAGCACTTTCACAGATGAGGATAATGCACCACATCTTTCATGTTAGCAGCATCCACTGTAGGCCTATATGCCATAGCATAAACTGTACGCCTGTATCAAAAACCAGTTGTCCCATTTACGCTTAAAGACCAAGTTGAGCTGTAGAAATTAAAAGATCACAGTTTGCTGGAAAAACGAAGCAGTGCACCAGAACTATTTTGTCAACTGTTAGTTCTTACTGTACTGTATAACAATTACGTATCCTACTCACCCTCAAAGGCGAAGTTGAACTGTTCCCGTCAAACTTGAAGGTTATAAATAGTTTGCTCAGTGGTGGCAGAATGAAGCGGTGCACTAGAACTATCTTGTCCAGTGTGTCATTATCTAGTGTTGGGTCAAGTTGGGTAGCCACTCCTCTAACTGTAGTCTTTTCCATCTTCTTCACCTTCATGAAGATTTGGACAGGGGCTTCCACTTTTGGGACATAGTAATAACCAGGTCTGTACAGCCTTTCTGCTAGCCCAACCATGATGATTTCGGTGTTGATGTTGTTTTGCGCCCACCAAAAGAGATTTTTCTTTATAGGTGCAAACTGGAATGAAATGTAATGTAAAAAGTTGTTGTATACAACTTTTTTTAGAAGCAGTCAGCACATTCAATTAATATTGTCCAGCTATGATTAGTTTTTTTTTACCAATAAATTGTGCTGCTGCCAATTGGGGACCAATGTTCAATGGGGTAATGTATGCCAATTAATGTTCAATAAAATATGTTATTTATTGCTAAGAAATCACATCTATGTTTGTGGAATGTTCAACTGTAAGAGTGATCAACCTTACAAAATCGAGAGGTGTTAGATAAAAAAGATAAAAAAATAATGGTTTAGATATATATCACTGAAATATATAACTGAAATAACAGAAACATATAACTGAAAAAAAGAAAATTTGGAAGTGCGAGTTCAACTAAAAAAAAGTTAGCCCATATTAAATTAAATGAATTTCTGTAATTTGTAACCTATTCACGGTATCTGTGATATTGGATCACATGTTTAATAGTCTTTATTTCATTGTCTTGTTGAAAGCATATGGTTACATTGTACATTTTAGTTACATTATGGTTACAGGGCAAACCCTGCAGAGGTCTTTGAGAAGTTTTTCAAGGATAACACAATCAAACATGTCTGCAGTACACTGTATCATCCAAAGACGAATGGCCAAGTTGAACCGTTTATCAAAACCTTCAAATCGAGAAGGCAAGATCAAACACAAAAGTTGGCGAAGCTACTGTTTGCATACAGAAACACACCACAAAAGTCCACGAGCAAACCTCCTTCATAACAGTTTTTTGCCAAAGACTTTGTCTCCATTGGACAATTTAAAGCCCACGGTTAAAGACATGATAACAGAATCAGTTTTTTAAACAAAAGTATTATCACCATGGAAAAAGTAGACATAGGGAATTTTCAGAGGGGGGAGAAGTCTGGGTACTACATCAAGAACTGGTGAGCTAACCTACCAAGTTCGTGTGGTGGACTTCTGAAGCGTAAACACGCAGACCAACTACGTAAGACTGTAAGAGAAGTGGAGCTTTATCTGAAGTGGGAGAAGTGTGATATTGGATTACCTGTTTAATAGTCTTTATTTTGCTGTCTTGTTGAAAGCATATGGTTTATGTTCGTTTATGTTTTTGTTGTGATGATTTGAGTTAGTGTTGGGATGACATTAAGATTAAAATATTCTTTCTTTAACTAGTTTTTTTTTTTTTGGGATTATACTACATTATCAAAAATTTTATCAAATTTAATTTCTAAAACATATTGAGACACATAATAGTTTACCTAGCCCCTCCCCCTGATTATCATTTAAAACATTTGATTTTTCACAATTATGTTACAATACCTGAAGCATTAAGTCGTGGTTTTCATCGAATGTATTGGCCAGACTTTTTGACATGTTAACATAGGAGGTGATATTTGAACCAGCCACATCTACCAAGCCATCTGCATTGTTGACCTGTAAACCAATAAATGGGCAGAGTTCATTTCAAATGTATATTGAATTTATAATTCATCCATTTACAACATATACTTTCAAAAAAGAATACACTAATTTGAGACTTCTCCTGAACTAAATTCACTTCAACTAACGCTCTCATCAAATGGGTTAGTTAAAGCATGTCTTCAATACTGTCTGTAAATCACTAATTTTATATTTTGTATTTTATACTACTAACGCATGGTATTACATGTCCAAAACTATAAGTACATATTTTCATTTTACATGCATGCAAACCCCAGAATATCTCTGAAATGTACGTACTATAGAACTGAATTGAATAGAAAAATCTAGCTATGTAGAGGTAACTTACGTAGGAATACATTTCAGAAACTCCTTCCGTCGACCTTATCTGCCTCCCCACCGCTCCATAAGGCTGAACTCGACCCACCAAATACATGGAAATCATCAGTGCCTCGGCCATGTCATTGGAGGCAACATTTAGCTACAAATTTAAAAAAAGGAATGTTTGACATAATAAGCAATTATTTTCCCCTACAAAAAATACTTATCCAGACAAAAGTTATAGGCCTAGTTGATTGTGACAAAATGAGCAAACTTGATTGCTCACTTTTTAGTAAAAAGCATTTATATGCCTACTATTTTTGAGAAACAAATCAAATTTCTTTTATTATTGAGGTACAGTTCTATGAATGGGGTCACAAACTTACATACTTTATCTTAAAATAATTATGTTCTTATAAAATCATATTCGACAATAGGAAGCTAAACAGTTACCTACATTTTCAGTGTGGTAGAAAAATACTATTTCAGGGAATATGAAGTTTAAGTCGAAGAATATGAAGAATACCAGTCCTGGTGTTGCTGGGTAGGTGATGAATATCCTATGTAGGATTTTTATTTCAAAGGATTTTTAACTTGTATTGAGATTAAATAGGGAATTTGTTTTATAACTAGTGTTATAGGTGTAACGGTTGGTTTGAGTGAATTTTAGAGGATTATTTGCAAGAAAAAGATAAGAGGGTGTTGGTCATGGACTGAACTCTTCCTCTGTCATTTAATTTGAAAAAAAAAATAGCTTGGTGAGATGACTTAGGTAAGGGAGACCATTATTGGAACAATGGTGAGAGGGAAATTCCTGCGTTTTGCAGAGATTATAAAAAGAATACTGCAGCTTGTAAGTTTACTTGATGTTTGACTGGGCTCTATCAATTACCAGAGACTCTTCAGGAGTGATTATTTTAATCTCGACTTTAGAAGTGCTTACAGCACTAATGCTAGACAGCCTCGTCTAATAAACCGTTAGACTATTCAACTGATGGCGGGTACCTAGCATAGATGAAACATTCATAAACTGCTATAAATGGCTGTTCAGATTAACCCATTGGCGCCGACTTACGAGCGTTACTCGTACGGCCACTGCAGGCCCGGCGGCCGACTTATGAGAGCCGCTCGTGTCACCGCTAGGCAGCGCCATTTTTTATTTAGTTATTATTATTTTTCGCCCTTTTTGTTTCTTCTTACTATTATAATGTTTATAAATATATTGCTTCTTGATTTGTGTATTTACTCATTTATTTTAGCGAATAACAAACAATTTTGTGTTGAATGGAAACCACATATCACCAAAAATCAGCTGCGGTAAGGTAAACAAAAATTTTTTAAAAAATGTTATTACTTATAAAAGTACACAACTTTTGATTTTTCTACGTAGGGAATCGATTGACCTTTATAATAGTAGTGTTATTTGGTGTCTGGATTAATCTTGGAATTTGTATATCAAGTTTACTTTCAAAATATTGTTTTTAAAATTTTTATTTTTATAATCTTTATATATATATATATTTTTAGTTTAGAACTTTGACTATCCAATTACCACTTTTCTGTAGACAATTTTACTGTGAACAAAATGGTGAAAGAATTATTAATTTACTACCTAAGGTTTTCTTTCTATAGCAGTTAGAGTAAAAGTCTACAAATTCGGTAAAATTAATTGCCGCCAGAGGGTGCTGCAGGTAGCGCATTAATTCCTTCCCCAATGGGTTAAGCAAAGATGGTATTAATGTGGCCCGCATTATTAAAGGTCAATCGTATATCTTTTACACACCGACAAACATATAACACTGCACTGATGCAGTAAAAGCTAAAGATTTTGTAAATTTCCAATGAATATGTCAAGAATTAATTGTAAAACTAATATTTTAGGTTACGAACATTGTCGTACACATCATAGTTGATGTTTTCCTCGGGAGCAAGTTTAGTTACGTTTCTATCTTGAGCAATAACGGCCATATCCACACAATCCATCATATTTCTGAAAACATAAAACAACATTTCAAGTCAAAATAAAATATTAGGGTAAAATGTGGGATTTAGTAAATGTTGGAGATGAAAATTCTTCAAAATTTGTTAAGCACTTAGAATAAAACTTTCTCCTATGTATTTACAATATTATTTGCACTAAGTGAATGATTAAAAATAAGGATACTAGCATGTAACCTAAATTATCAATCACATTATCATGATAAAAGTTTCAAATAACTTCTCAATCCAGTGACAAAGCACTACGTCATCTGAAGAAATAATAAATCATTTGATTTATTATCTAAAATGCTTTAAACTTTAAACTCTTTAATTTACAGAGGTATTATTTCTCTATGGACTGTTGACTGTAGAGTTTTTATGTGTCAGTTAAAAACTTTGAGAAATAATGAATTTTGAGGCATCCAGGTTTGGTTTGAGGTATTATAGAATGTGTCAATTAGAGTGAAGACTGGGATACGCATGGGCTCAAGAACTCTTTCTCTACTCTTCGCTTTTGTTAATTTGTTGGTCATCTCAAAAATTGAAAAATTAATTGGCGTTGAATTCCTAATTTACATGACCTTAACTACTATTGAATTTTAAAGATGTTCAATTTAAAATAATCCACTAATAATTTAAAAAGATAATATTTTTTAATATTAAATAATCTTTGAAAAGAATATATTTTTAATTTTTTAATGTACCTAATATTGAAATCTTACAATAGTTTATTTTAATCCACAATTAATTAATAAAATGAAGTAAGAAAATATTATTTACTTAGCTGTGTTTCAGTATCCCTTCTTGTTTACACCGATTTTTCGTAATAGAACATAATAACGTACTTCAAGTAAATTAAAGAAGTGAAATTTTCACCTGGAAAGTTGGTGAACGTGTTTTGCCCGCAGTCGAGGTGTATGATCAGGTTTTACAGCATATTTCAGATAAACTTTGGCGAGTTTCAACAGTATCCTCCCAGTGTACATTTCTAGTACGTCGTCCAATAAATATGTCCCTTTCAGTGTTCCGTTGACCAAAACAGAGAGTATTGTTGAAATTCCAAGCTTCATACTCTCCGCTGAATCATACTCAATCTGGGGAAAATGTACATTATTTGTATGAAATGCTCAGGGAGAAATTTGTGAGTTGTTCTTATTGAAACACTGTTAGACTCTCTAGTTCTTATAAAACAATAGTTAACACAGACACGGTAAAAATCAATAAAAAATAGCAAAATATGCCTGATTTGAGGTGGAACTCTGTAAGAATCCACTCATCCAAATAACTACCACTGAACCATCCTCTTAAAAAGTGGATCTTCAAGTCTTAGTCACAGATAGAGAAACAGCTCAATAATTCCACAAATCATTAACACCAGATCAGAACAATAGAGGTCACAAATTGTGGAGGCATGCACTGTGGATGCGATACTCCCTGGTGTGGATTATCATCTGCACTATTGTGTACTACGACTATCCGCAGTACTATCCTGATAAATAGACCAATTTGTTAAAACCAAGGCAAAAATGTGGTTCGAATTCCACTATAAACTGTAGGTCCCTTAGTTGCCATTAGCTGTGAGGACTATTAAAACAGCTGTGTCTAAGGAATAAGTCGGTCTTAGTCACTAACAAGACCACAAGATCAAGCCACTAATCCTACACTCATCTCCATTCATACTTGGCTTAAAATACCTACTTTGTATGGTCGCCATTTTAATGAAAAAAGTATTAAAAAGGTTACGATTCCTCAATCTATGGTTTTGGTTGTGTTTCTTGTGACGGAAATTACAATGGACTTTGGAACATAGTGGTTAAAAGTTGTGGTACTAAAAAGCTAAATGTGTTGTCACACACCCTGGCCATTGAAGATATAATTCTTCGAATGTAGTATTCATTGTTCAAGTCTTTATACAGTATTTCAGCCAGAGTGGACATAAGGTCTTGCGCAGCTGAAACATAAATCCAAGTTTATTTTAACACACTCACTACCAGCAGAGGTGGTGGTGGACCAGACATACAGAAGAGAGTGATGGTTGGAAGGAAAATCTGTTAATAAAACTTGATGCATTATCATTTACTGGAAAACATGAAGGTAATTACTGCAGTCTTCAAGTAAAACCTAAGTCTTGGACCACAATACTTTTTTTGTTTTAGGTTTACCATACCAGAAACCTAAACATTGTTTAATAATTGTAATGTGTATATTTTGTTTTGATTTAAGTGATTTACATTTCCATTTGCAACAATATCCTTTTTTGAAAACAGATCTAACCATCACTTGGCAATTCCCCAGATTTGCTGCTATGGGCAATTTTCATACCATGCAATTTGTCTGAGTTTTATAATCTTGTTATGCTTTCTCTTTACATATTAGCCATAAAAGTAGAGGAATATATTTTGATGAAAAAAATTGCAATATTTTTGTATCCCAACAATGATTGAAAATAAAAGAAAGATAAAAGTATAAAACTTGATTTACTTGATATGTGGAAAGCAACACAAAATATTTTGGTAAAACCTTCAATCTAATATAATACTGCTATTCAGATTTATATAAAGAAGCTATCAACAATATACCCACCATTAGTATACAGTGATCTGATCTTATTTAACTACACTAATCTATTGAAAAATTTGTAAATTATTTACATATAGAATTAACTTACGTTGATAATTATTGTAGCCCATGTAATCATCAATTTCGTTCATTAAGTATTCAATATGCGTTATATTTCTGTCAAAGTCATACAACTGGAAAAAAACAAATTTTAAAACTTAAACTGTTTACAATCACCAAAGAAGAGTGGAACCTTGATAAGAAGACCCTCGATAACAAGTCGCCCTTGATGATAAGTGTCATTTTCAAATCCCCTTACAATTATTTTACCCCTAATCACATGTTATTACAAACTTTGATAAGAAGTCAACCTTGATAACAAGTCTTATTTTACAATTCCCTTGAGAGTTTTGTTATCAAGGTTCTACTGTAGTTCTATAATGCTGTCAGCTTATGAAAATGTTATAAAAATATTTTAAAGATGGCCCTTGTAAGTAATTAGACACTTAGTGTTAAAGATGCTTCTTTTAAGTCTTTTTTTTTGGGGGGGGGGGAGGAGAGAAAATATATGCTTTTCCTACATCCACCTGACAAATTGGGCTTCTTTGCACTGATTATAGTACAGAAAGTTGCTAATTGCTGCATTTCCTTACTTTTGCTATACTCTTTTAATTTTTCCGTACTCTTTTAACTTTTATCACATTTTTTTTTTTTTTTTGCTACACTCCAGAATTCAACCAAACATCACAAAACAGTGTGATTTTATTAGGCGCATAATCCGTGTACTCTTCGAAATAGATTGGCAACACTTAAAGATACTACAACTACGATCAGCTAGCTGGTCCAGCGTTTCCCATTTCGTTCAACACTTGGATAACTTGGATATAGTGTGAAAGACTAGTGTGGATTTTTATATGCTTTTATAGTAACTGTAAGAAAAATATAATGTGTTTGCGAGTGCAAAATGCCTTTGCTGCAATCGAGAAACTTTCCACACTCTCCTGTGGCTTGAGCGTAAACATTTCTCCTGTGTGCAGCAAAGTGTCTCTAGTTAGTCACACAAATAATTATTTAGTATTTACACTAACAGTTGGCAAGCCTGTAGTGTGAAACTCCTGCACTGATCTGACTACATTTCTTGAGGTGGTAAAATCAACATGACCTAAGCCCTCAAAGACTCGCACCGTCTCTGGCATTCAGTTCTTTTATGACCTAATATGGCAAATCATTGCTCTTCATTTTTAGCTGTCAATAGGCATCCATGCCAGAGAAAATGAGGTATTTCTGTTTTATAGCTGTTCAAGTTTAAATTGTTTTTATTTTATTGTAAATTAACTAAATCTAACTTATTTTTCTTGCAAAACCATTATTTGTTATAAAATTAAATAAACGGTATCAGCAATCTGACACATACTTTCTCCCATAAGCTTGTCAACAACCTTTATCATGGGAAAGCAGTGGGAGTAACTATTAAAATTTTGTAGGAAAAAATAACAAAAGTTGCAATAACTTTTAAACCGTAAATGTTACAGTAATGGGGGTTGCATTATTTTGTTTACAATTATAAGGACCATAACAAATTAACTTTAATCAGAACCGTGTTTTTCCCAAATTCCGATTTTTTGTAATTTTATGGGATTTTTTTATGAGAAAATAACATAAGCTACAATAACTTTTGAACCGTAATATTTACATAAATGGGACTTAAACCATTTTGTTCAGAATCTAAAGGACTATAACATACTAGATTTTTATAAAAATAGTTCAGGCCATTTTTGAGAAAATCTGATTTTTCCGTTATTTTATGGTTTTATGAAGAAATTTAAAACACAAATTTCAAAAAAATTAAAAAAATACCTTTAGATACCATGGATTAGTACCTATAAACCAAATTTCATCAAAATCGGACTACTGGTGTGGTCTGTAGCTCTGTATACACATCCACACATACAGACATCACTTTGAAAACAACTTTTTGGGGTTCAGGGGGGCCCAAAATGGATATATCCACTCAAAACTCAAACTTGAAAATTTTGACGAAAACAATACTTTCTCCATAGACTATGTATCGGGAGAGAAAGTAAAAAGATGCTTGTTAATATTTATTGTATGCCAACCAACAGACGGTCCAAAAGACCATTGATGTAAGTTATAGGCCAACTTTCAATTTTGTAATTGTATAGTTAGGCTCTTTATTTGTTATTGTATGATTGTAAACCTTTTATTTTGTTAAATAAAGCACCTCAATCACTTGTAGTAAATCTCGGTATTAAGGGGCAAACTATCTTAAAAATGAAAGTAAAACTATAAACATCCTTTACCAGTTGTCATTTTAGAATGTCCAAAAGGTATTTGTATAAACACATTAGATGCAGAGGTAGGGATTAAACGCTCACAGAATGAATTGGCATTACTTGTATGATGACTTTAATTCCTTACCTTAACATTGATTGTGACAGAAGGTCCGTCTCCGTCCTCATTGAGTAAATATATTACGACCCTGCCTCGAGTCAACCTGAATTGCGAATAAATACCTGAATATGAATATCCAGTCATTCTACCTGAAATTAATCATGGATTAGTTAAACAAATATGGTCTGTAACAATTCACGGTGTCATTAATGCGTTAGAAAACTTTTTATAATTATGTTAAGACAGAAACCTAAAACTTACCAGGTTGGTTGTGCAAAAATATAAGAATGTAATATAATTTATTTTATGCAAGCAATTGATCCATGGTAAAAAAGATTGTTAAGCCACTTATAAAATCTATGGCAAAACCAGTGTGCGTGTTAAGCTGAGTTTAAGACTATAAAGCATGTATTATCAATGAATGAGTGCTGTCCATGATTATCCTGGATTAGATTAGATTAATTATTAGGGGCCAACACTTCTGGATGCATATTTCAGGGCAAGGATGAGTATTAGTAAGTAATACAGATCACAGCTTTTTTACCAAGCTATTGATGCTGGACTGGACACGCTATATGTTTAGTATAACTGTAGTGTTACATTTTCAAATAATAAGTAAATTAGTTCAGTTGAATCAAACACATATTTTAATGTGAACAGAAAAACTAATACAAACAAAACAAATAAAAAATAACAGGTGATCATTTATTCACATACACATATGGTCTTAAGTTATTACATCAGTTAAACACATCAAATTCTCCCCTCTGAAATGTTTTTTTAGAGTGAAAATTTAAAAACGTACGTTTTCAGGAAAAGCACTTTTAAAATTTTTTGTTCCGTTTTCTTTAACTTTTTAATTTTTTTTTTATTTCATTGACATTTGAAGTTTCATAAAATGTCCATGGTAACGCAATATCTTTGGTGATTTTTATAAATAGAGCATCTTTGATGGAAAAACACGAAATTATGTCACGACCATCACGGACATAAAAACTGAATATTAAAAATAGTTAATATTATTTTTATAACTATGTTTTGCTATAAATTAATTTACTTTTATGGCCATTATACAATAAACAGCTCACTTAGAGCGGGCGTATGCTGAGACGCACGTGACAACGCACGCAAGCCAAGTTTTTCGGCGCAAGCCACGCCATCTATGTATAATAACTCCCATCGATGAGCCACGCAGCACACGAATTTTTGACTAGCGCATGCTGAGACGCAGCACACGCAACACATGCACTACGCAGTCACCAAGTAGTTAACTGATTTGCAGCTGTTGTAAACAGTTGTAAATTTTGATTCTTGCAATCGTATCGTTCGAAATTATTTATCGATTGATTTATTAGGTAAGGTTTTAGCCTATTGTCGATTGCTCGACATTTCGATGATATAACACAATCATAATAGACAAAATAATTGAATCACTTAGTAAACACTTGCTTATTTGCATTAGCAGAATTGAAAACAAGCTGGAAGTTGTTTTGAGAGGTTATGTTTACATAAAAATCATTTAGTTTTCTAGCTCTATTTTTGTTAATTAATGATTCAATATGACGGAAAATATAGTTCACCACATGGGCAAAAAGTGACTTTTTAACCCTCGCTGATTTTCCGACCTCTGTTTCGCCTCGAACGTAAAACTTGACCTCTGGTCAAAAAGAGTCACTTTAGGCCCTAGTGATGAAAAAAATACTATTTATCTTAAATTATTTTCTAAAGCTACTCGTTTAGGAGTTACAGACAGCTTTTTGCATTACATTAATAGACAATTAATGGTGGTCTCTTGTCTGTGGTTGCACCTAAGAAAAAATTGCATGTGGTGTACATTCTGCTCCTGTACCTCCTAAACGAGTAAGTTTTGAGAGTAAATTCAAAGAGTAAATACGCCTTGGTACCTACTTAAAATAGCATCTAAAAGACCATAAAATACAGAGTGTTTCAATTTTAAAGTTAGCTGTCACTTTAGGCAAATGGTAGTCATTTTGAAATAAATTGAATCAATATTTTTAATGTATTTTATTATATGACATTTTTTGGATGTAGACACTATTTAGGCCTAAGCCTTATTTTCTACTGTATATGCATTATCCTCTCCAAACATACTTGTTTATGAGCTGCAGGATGCAGAATGTACAAAGCAAGCCACTTTTTTTTTAAGTGCAACAAGCCGTAACTCCTAAACGAGTAGCTTAATAAAAAGAACTTAATGAATACAAACTTTTTGAAATCGTATTTACTTTCCAAAACAATCATAAAATAGGCTACAGGGTGTTCCATAAAAAATATTTAAGTTATCAGCCATATTGGAAAATGCAGTCATATAAAAAAAAAAACTACTTAATAAATAAAGGGGAGCATCTCATAAGAATGTAAACCTACGTGTATTCGAACGTTTTCGCAAATATCTACAGGTCGGTACGAATGCGGCCACCACTACCGTTTCCTGCTGAGATGCTGGAAAACCAATGCAATGCAAATAAGTTGCATAGTAATGTTTTCAAATATAAAATGTGAATAATGCATTGATAAAATATTAATACATGTGCTGAACTAGTTAATTAACGTATAGGAATTATATAGGTGTAATTGAGGCATTTCCCTAAATTACGAAGCTATGGCTAAAAATACAGAGTATCACAAAAAAACGTAGCAGAACCAGATTCTACATACAAAAATAAGATGAAAATAAAAAAAAAATTCCCAAAATCACTTAATATTAATATTAAGTTTAGTTTATGAACCTTTGATTTGGATTTTCAGCTCTAAACAGGATTTTAAAAACAAGTACAATGTGTTACGTGGATCCAAAAATGGAAATAAGAATATTTTTAAATTATAAAGGTCCGTACCGATAGTCTATCATGACGTTTCAAAACTGCATACACCACAGATAATTCACATTGGAACTCAATCGACGCTCGTTTGTTTGTTGTCATCGTTCACACGAGTTGTGTTTAGTGTGTCTGAAAATCTGTGTCTGTGCTACAAACTGAGACATGCCACGCAGCACACGCATTTAGTTGCAGAGAACACAGCTGGTTAGTTGTCAAGATGGCTGAAAGTACCTACTACTTCGAGTCCGACAAGGGAATTGAGGAATCGGTTCGTCTTATATTGTGTTTCGTGCTTGCACCCAAGCTGTGTTGCATGCGTCGAAAACTGTGACAGGCCGGCCCACGCGTGTGTCAGTCACATACACGCGTGCGTCTCAGCATACGCCCAGCCTTAGCTTTAGGTATATTTGGTCTTTCTAGAAAAAATTAAAAAAAAACTAAAATAATTGAAAAAAGCCAATAAAATCTTTTAAGTTTGTATAACTCCGAAAACGGCAAAAACACTTACCTGAGACCTGAAAAATCGTTATGTTTTTATTGAGGTGTGCTTCTTTTGTGTATAAATCATTGAAATATGACGATATTTAAATTTTTTACATATTTATGATAGAAATCATCAATGTGACGGTCAGGGACAAGCGGTACGGTCGTGAATTGTCTGGAATAATCGAAATCTTTTGAAACAATCCTTCAATTATACTGTTAGTTATAATAAAAATATGTGTTTCAATTGAACTAAACTGTTCAATTTACAATGATATTTAAGTTATTGTCACGACCAAACACAGTATAATCCATAAGGCTAGATTGGTCGTGAAAAAACCCACGATGGTCGTGAAACTTTGGTCGTGACATTACGTATTATTTGGCTCTGTTCTGGCGGTAGCCCTGCACCTCATGTTCGAGGATACAAAGTGGACTTCTAGGTTAATATAGCAATTGAAATATCATATAAAAAAAATTAAAACCACGCCTACTTCATCAAATGACTACGTACGGTCATGGACACACCAAAATTACAAAAAACACAAACTTACCTTTATTAATCTTGTAACTACTTCTTTCAACACAAAACGACCGGCACAACCAACTTGACGTACACCCCCAACTAGTCTCTAAAACGAACTGACGCAATCGACGCCAAACTTGCCACTGTCGTGCTCCAAAGTTGCAAATTTTTCCCAAATGGTCGTGACGCCAAATCGAGGGACAGACTTATTTTGTCATGGTAGTCAGTTTGCAATGACAATAAAATTATAATATGCTCCTTTTTTGTAAGTTTAATAACTATTGATGACATACAAATATGGCTTTATATATTTCGGCATGAATAATTAGTCTAAAAACAGTGTGAAAGTTGGAAAATGTACCCTAGGGACACGTCATGGTCGTGAACTTCGAGACTTTAAAAATGCGAAAAAAATACCTAGAACCTATTTAAAACCAAATAAATGTGTGTAACATGTTGCCCCCGTCCCAAAAAATATTAAAACACATAATAATAAACTACAAATCCAGAATCTACAAAGTAAAAGGCCAGGGACATGAAAACGTACGTTTTTAAATTTTCACTCGTTAACGTTATTTCGCATTTGAGTAGTTGATCAACATGACGCCTCCAGACAGTTCCATCGTCCATTTTTACTTTATACAGAAGGTTGCTTTCGTTGACCAACTACTCAAATGCTAAATAACAGGTGATCATTAATTCACATACACATATGGTCTTAAGTTATTACATCAGTTAAGCACATCACATAGAGACTGACTACAAAAGCCATGACACATATTTTATTTTCACATAAAAATCAAATTGAGTTGATTTATTTATCAGCATTTACCTTGATAGTGTTCTATATCGTCATGTCCTTTGTCAAAAAATTCATAAAGTATCGGTCCTTCCGACTGCCAGCCAAAACATGTGATATCAAACAATGTAAATCCTTTCATTCCCGACTTAGGAGTCATCGTGCAATTACCTTCCGTTGGGATTTCATTAGGGCAGTATTCAATGTTGTAGGGTATTATTTTGTCCTTAGCAGCATCTGTAAAATTAAAGTAAAATGAATGTAAACAGAAATACATTGTAATAATTGATAAAAAATTAAATCAATCAATTTGTTTATAGCAACAACACACATTTGGTTCATCTAACTTAATTCTATACACACACGACACACCTTGAAATTATTCATCTTGAAATATACACTCAAATGTGTGTATGTATGTTGTATATTGTACGTAAGTGAGTAAAAATTTAAAAACGTACGTTTTCAGGAAAAGCACTTTGCAAATTTGTTTCCCCTTTTTTCAAAACTTTTATTATTATTTTTATTTTATTAACATTTGAAGTTTCATAAAATGTTCATGGTAACGCAATATCTTTGGTATTTTTTTTAAAAAAGAGCATCTTTAGTGGAAAAACACAAAATCCTGTCACGACCATAACAGACGTTTAAATTAATATTAAAAATAGTTAATATTATTTGTATAACTATGTTTTGCTATAAACTAATTTACTTTTATGACCATTATACAATAAAAAGGTCACTGAGCTTTTGGTATATTTGGTCTTTCTAGAAAAAAATAAAAAAAACTCTAAAAATTGAAAAAAGCCAATAAAATCTTTTTAAGTTTGTATAACTCCGAAAAAACTTACCTGAGACCCGAAAAATCGTTATGTTTGTATAGAGGTGTGCTTCTTTTGTGTATAAAACATTGAAATATGACGATATTTTAATTTTTGAAATTTTTATGATAGAAATCATAAACGTGATGGTCAGGGACAAGCGGTACGGTCGTGAATTTTCTGAAATAATCTAAATCTTTCTAAACAATCCTTCAATTATACTGTTAGTTATAATAAAAATAAGTGTTACAATTGCACTAAACTGTTCAAATTACAATTATATTAAAGTTATTGTCACGACCAAACACACTACTATAATCCATAAGGCTGGATTGGTCGTGAAAAAACCCGCGATGGTCGTGAAACTTTGGTCGTGAAATTAGGTGTTATTTGGCTCTGTTCTGGCGGTAGCCCTGCACCTCATGTTTGAGGATACAAAGTGGACTTCTAGGTTAATCTAGCAACTGAAATATCTTATAAACGAAAATTAACACCATGTCTACTTCATCGAATGACTACGTACGGTCATGGACACACCAAAATTACAAAAAACACAATCTTTCCTTTATTAATCTTGTAATTCCTCCTTTCAACTCGAAACAACTGGCACCACAATCCTGACGTACACCCCGAACTAGTCTCTAAAACCAACTGACTCCATCGACGCCAGGCTTGCCACTGTCGTGCTCCAAAGTTGCAAATTTTTCCCAAATGGTCGTGACGCCAAATCGAGGGACAGACTTATTTTGTCATGGTAGTCAGTTTGCAATGACAATAAAATTATAATATGCTCCTTTTTTGTAAGTTTAATAACTATTGATGACATAAAAATATGGCTTTATATATTTCAACATGAATAATTAATCTAAAACAGCGTGAAAGTTGGAAAATGTACCCTAGGGACACGTCATGGTCGTGAATTTCGAGACTTTAAACATACGTAAAAAATACCTAGAACCTATTTAAAACCAAATAAATGTGTGTAACATGTTGCCCCCGTCCCAAAAAATATTAAAACACATAATAATAAACTACAAATCCAGTATCTACGAAGTAAAAGGCCAGGGACATGAAAACGTACGTTTTTAAATTTTCACTCAAGTATGTTGTATGCTGTATGTTGGTATTGTCAATCAATCGGACAAATGTTTACGGCAAAATTTGAGTGGAGATTCTTAGGCTGTGTGAAATATCTCTAGCCCTGCTAACTATTTAAGAGCTCTTGGAGGCTAGCGGCCATCTTGGATGATTTCAAACAGTTACTGAAGAGTTAATTATCATCCAAAAATAGTTTTTTAAACACCAAAATGATTATGATGTAAATATATCTAGTATACTGTGGGATTAGAAATGCTATTTGTTGTTTTGAATGTATTTCCAAGGGAGTCCATGGACGCCAATAGCCATTGGATTTGCCCCCATAAGATTGTTGTTTAATTTGTTAATTGTTAGTTTTGTTATTTACTAACAGCCAATGAAGAGTTATTTACCACCTCAAAATATTTGTTCGAATACCAAAAAAGTGATTCTAATTTAAATATCTAGTAAACTGTGAGATTAGAAATTTGCTTTGTAGTTTTTTAATTGCTTTATGAGTAAGAACGTCTAGGCTCCAAGGACTCTTAAAAGCTCATGAATGAGGGCATTGCTTGGTTTTGGATCATCAAATGGCTACTGATTTTGATTTTACCAAGGACCGTACTGATTAGTAACCAATTTACTTATATGAAAAAAAAACAAACACTTAGTTCTACTGTGCTCATAAATAAACTCAGCAATGACTAAATAATCACTTAAATATTTTAGATGAAGATAAGCTGGAGAGATTAGAATTTAAGTTATATTAAATGTAAAATTAGGTAAAAATACAGTTAGACATGTGAAGAGTGAGAAAAAATATTTGTAGGAAATGGACTTGAGGATGTAGAAGAAAGGAGAAGAATCCAGAGGAGGGCCAGGGGTGGAGATGATGTGAAGAAAGATGTGGAAAAAATATTAGTGAGATTGTAGATGGTGAGAAGAGAGAAGTGAAGGTAAATTCTAAGAAGGCGGAGAGATATAATTGACATCATTGGCTATTGGATACTGAAGTAGACATCCCATCTACATGGACCAGCTGTCACCATTTTTTTTTTATAAAAAGAGAAAATAGTTGCAGAAGCCAGTCACTGAATGTAACACTCTATTTTTTTCTACCTTATTTTTTGTTGCTGACATTTAGTTGATGGGTAATAACAGTTGTTATAGCTCACTATAGCCGTTCTATCGGTTTGACTTGGTAAAAAGGATTGTGTATTTGAAACAACATAGTAATGAACTTCGGTACTTTCCTGTTAAAGGGAACATTCATTATTATCAATGATTTATTTCTCGATATATCGATATTAACGAATTGAAACATATCAGCTGACAACTACGATATATGATAAATAAGTATTGTTCAGTGTCAACAAAAAATAATTAAAAAAAATATATTGAAATGAAACTGTTAACCAAACTTGCTGTAACATTTAAAAATCCGTTTAATATTCCCCACTTGCCTTTTCTGTTTTCAATCAGAATTTTTAAATGGTACAGCAAGGTTTGGTTGGTTATGTTAGGTTAGTTTAGAACTGTTTCATTTCTTAATCCATATAATAATAGACTATATTTAGCCTAAATAAGACCAGTTGTCAATTTGTAATGGATTGTAAAGAAAAACAAAAATATCGATATATCGAGAGAAAAAATCACATCGATAATAATGAATGTTCCCTTTAACAGGAAAGTACCTGAACTTCAATACAATCTGTCAATGGCTAAAGTCAACTATTATGATTTAGATTTAAAAACTGGCGACAACTTTAACATGGGGATAGAATGTGTAGTTTGTATCAATAGCCAAAGTTGATGAAGGGACAACCGTAAAAGAATAGGATATTTATGTATGTATAGGTTATGCACTACAAATGATAAAAAAATAATTTTGGTAATCTATATTCCATTCGAAAAAAATACCTTGTGCATACACCGTGTACGCCACACACTTCTTCAGTTTAGTTACATTCATTTCTGAAAAATAAAATTATAAACAATGAGTGAAATGTCATTAACAAGTTAAAACTCTTGTATGATAAAATAGTCACAAAATAGCATGAAATAAAAATGTTATATCGTGGTAATAGTAGTAGTAGTACATCATATCTAGAACCATCCTAAGCCTGTTCGGTTTTTGATGTAAGACTACATCACTGGGTTTTCGTCTAAATGTAGTGAGAAAGATAATTCAGGATCACACTGAACTTTTGTGAAGCTTCAAAATACAGTGATCTCTAGTCAAATGATAAAGATGATGACTCACTCTTTGTTATAGCCTGATTTGGGTTTGATTTGTTGAATTAGTTAAATAACAACACTCAAAACTTCACAAACCACAGGTCATATTTAACAATAAATCTTTATATATAAAAAAAAATTTTACTAGTAGATTATTCCTCATTTTCATTCAATATATTATCTTCTTTAAGTTAATTCACACCTACTATGCCAATAATACAATCCAAACTACACACAAAACATTTTACTTTCATAAAACATTATTGAACATGACAGAAAAACAGATAGTTTTCACATAATATTAGAAAATGTACTAATAAATAATTCTTTAATTTTGCTTACTTAATTCGTAGGGTTTAACTCCTTCAGAAATGATGACATCTCCAAGAGAAATAGTTTTCCCATCAGGATCCCTTATTTCCCAGGTAATGTTTGTCTTTGGAGGCTGGCCTGTGTTCCGGTCAATGACCCTAAGTCTTACAGGCACGTTTGGGTCTGGCGTAACCAAACAGTTCTCCAAGCACCTGACACAAATAAATGTCCACAATCAAATGGTTGATTCTTCAGAAAATATTTCGTTCCAATTTACGCAAGCAGTTTTTTTTTCACAATCATAACTAGATAACAGCTTGAAGGATTTTAACGTTTGAGGTGTCAAATTAAAGGCATTTTCATGCAGAATATTATAAAAGGGCATAACTTAACATATGGACGTAGTTTGAAATAATTGTTTTAAGGTTAACCACATACTGCAGGACTACTTCCAGAGCAAAGCCGGAATTTATATTTTTATTTTAACATCTATTAGATAGGTCTGGTTCATAAAAAATAAAGAGTTTCCTAGCAAGACTTGACAACAAATTGTTTGTAATAGTTGAATTGATTTACCTTACTCGTATTTTACTGAATTATCATGTAGTTTTGGTTACAGTTTGGTGTGATAAAGTGAATGTTTAGTAATTTACAATGTGTATACAATGTGTAGTGTTTTCTGTTGTTTGGTTAACTTTTGTATTTTATTTAAATTTTAAATAATTTTTTTTTCTGTGAGTGGCTGAAGGGAACGCAATCGTGGCCGCTTGCATCAACCTTCCAATGGAACATTGAACAGGGTGACAGTACCGCCAGGTGATACATCGCTGTAACTGCTGGCCACAGTGACGAAATACAAATTTGAATTTCTCAATGATTATTAGTAATGTAACAACAATAATTACTATGGAAAATAAATAAATGTATTTATTCATTTAAGACTTAATACTTAAATATATTAATTAGTTACTTAATTAATCTGTAGTTTTTATATCACTCATAATGATTCAAGCTAATAATGATAATGATTTTCAGTAATAATGATTTTTTGTTACTTACCTTCATTACAATTATCTGTACAATGAATTTAAAAAGAAAAATTTAGTTTATTTCCTGCTGTTAGTAACTAGCTAGTTAGTAACTGCTGGCCACAGTGACGAAATACAAATTTAAATTTCTCAAATGATTATTAGTAATGTAACAACAATAATTACTATTAGGCCAGTAAAATTAGTTAAAAAATTGGCTGTGCCTGGAAATAATTCTCGGAAAGCTGGAAATCGTTTTGATCCTTTTGTTTTATATAGAAGTAAAAAGATTTGAAGTTTGTCCCAGTTTTCTAGGTGAGCTTCTGACCTGGGACCACAAAAACCATGAAATTTAGGGTTAGTTGAAATTTTTTAGTTTTTACTAAAACGTCAAAGAACCATCCAGCCTACAGAAAAACACATTAAAAAGGAATTGTAGAGCATAAAATCCCGCATCCATTGATTATATGGTGATGAATATCAAACCAATATTAAGCTATTTATAGTCATTTAAATAAGGTTATTTTATTAAGAAATTATTGAACGTTGCATACATTTATATTTCTTCTAGAAAATGGATTCCAAGTACATTATTATTTACAAAGTAATTAATACGAATTACAAATACCCTCGCCGCAGCAAACCTGCAGACTAAGTGAGTTTTCCATTTACCTGGCTGGATTTACACTAAAGTATTCCATAAAAATTGTCAGATATATTTCCTATTTAATTAACATTAATTTTAGTGATTACTTAGGTTTGCTGCTACAGGGAAGATATTGAGATGTGTTTTTTTATTGCAATGTCGATAGCCTAGCATTAAATAAACAAAATTTCCAAATGTTGTTTAAATATATCCATAAACAAGCAAACTTCAACAGTTTAATCATTCTCCATAAAAATAACATGGGAATTTAAATTTACAATTTTTTTAAATTATCCCCGTAACCGTTGGGTATACAACAACGCTCTACAAAATGTCAATCACAGCGCTGGAACAGAGAACTTTAAAAACATGCATCGTACATTTTACTCCATTCTTCTGATAAGTGCAACCACTTTAACACCCTTTAGCACACTTACATGAGATATTGTTTAGAAGATCAGGTGGTGCAGCTTCAACATTTGTTGGGATTTGGAAGTATCCCACGCTTAGATGACTTCCAGCCCCAATCAGTAAGCAATTTCACCCATCAAATGCACGTAGAAACAGGATATTACTTTTAAAGGTCGAAGAATATTTGAATTTCACTGGGAAATAAAACGTACCTATTGCTGGACTTCCCTTTCCGGGTTTCAAGAGGTGAAGGAATATAGTGGCTGATTTGGGAACAAATGCAGTTAAGAGCACACATAGGTCAATATCTTCCCCCACGATTATAACACTGACTGCTGAGCTAGTTAGATGGTTTGCATGACGATAGTAGTATCCATTCGTCCCATTTACCTTCTAAAAGATTAACCTGTAATGAAGCGCTAGTCCCTTGCCAATTTTCAATTACATTCATTTGAATGTTTTCTCAAATTACAAAACCAAAATCTCAACCTCTCCGAGTATTGGGATCATTACACGTACCGTCTCGGGTGTGTACGATCCATGTTCGTGTGTGGTTTGTAGATTCGAAATTTGATTGAGCCTGCGCTATGTCAAATACGACTAATCCATCTTTCAGGATTAGAAGTGTGCTCTGTTGTTTCGACTTTGTTTAGTCTCTTCAGTCATGGATAGGTCCGAAGACCACCATGAGACAACAGTAAGTGTGATTTGCGTGGAACGTGTTCATTACGAATTTCCAACATTCACTGGGCAGTACGAGCGTTCGACTCGCTTTTACAAACTCTGTGTGTCAGTGGAAGAATTTAGCAATCCACAATGTCAAGAGTGCTCTACTTTTCAAGATTTCACAGAGACTATGTACATTAATTAATTAATTATACCTCAATTAAGTTTAAAAATGACTTTGATTAGTCATATCGAAATTCAGAAATGTCTACTAGAGACAGCTGAAGTTGGATTCCAGATTTCAGGAACCAATCAGCAAGCGATGACAGATTTCAGTCATCCAAAGGCACTGGACGTGAAAACAAATAAACATCAAAATTTATGGATATATTTAAACGAAATTTTAAAACTTTGTTTATTTAATACTAAGCTATCGACATTGCTATAAAAAAACACATCTCAATATCTTCCCTGTAGCAGCAAACCTAAGTAATCACTAAAATTAATGTTAGTTAAATAGGAAATATATCTGACAATTTTTAGGGAATATTTTATATAAATATTTTGTATAAATGGAAAACTCACTTAGTCTTCAGGTTTGCTGCGGCGAGGGTATTTGTAATTCATATTAATTACTTTGTAAATAATAATGTACTTGGAATCCATTTTCTAGAAGAAATATAAATGTATGCAACGTTCAATAATTTCTTAATAAAATAACTTTATTTAAATTACTATAAATAGCTTAATATTGGTTCGATATTCATCACCATGGTACTGCTACTTTTCCTTAGAACCGGTGGTAGCAGTAAGAATCATTTTTACGTACAAACACATCACTAATTAACAACTATAGTTATCGTTAGTGCTGTACCTTATTTCTCATTAAATTTAATTGATGTCTTACAGTATAATTTTAGCGTTTTCTGTCTGGACTTCAAAATGTTAGTTTATGCTATAAAAATGATAAAACATTAGTGAAAGATTTTTTTAGCTAACCATCATGAATTTTTAAGGCTTGGCGTTGTCAACGTATAAATGTTTTGTGGGCTATGTATTTATTGACTTATTCATATATTTGCCAACGGATTTACAACAATTTTACAGTTAGATTAGGCCTAAAAACGATTATCAAAAAATTTGATGACACCATAAAAACTTGCAAATAATTATTTTGTTTGTAATTTACTTTGGTTAAAGCGTAGCACATCCTTAATAAGAATAAGAATAAGAAAGTTTATTACCGTTGACCAGGTCTTATACAGGAATAGGCATTGTCAAATTACTTTAAACAAAATGTTGTAATCCTTAATACTTAATCCGTAATGTGTATTCAATTCTGTATTTGTGTGTGTATGTCTGTTGGTTATTAACGCATTAATATCCTTATTTCTCAGTGTTTCGTGGAAAAGACAAGAGCACCTTTGGTAATGAAAATTTCAACCCGAATAAAGTGTGCAGTAGTGAGGTTGAGGTAGTATTTTAACTAGTTTTAACCAGTGTGAAAAGTTACTTTCAATTACAGGCCTACCTTAGGGCTATGCCTCATAGATCTATAAAGCAATTTCTTTTATCATTAGATATAAAATATGGACTAACACGATCGGGTGACATTTAATTGCGAAGCATTCGTTTTGGCTTTGAAACTGTCAGATGTTGTATTTGCGAAGCTTTGTTTATATGTATTCCTGTACAGTAATAGTTTTGCCAGCATATCTGGAAAATTGCACACTAAATATGCAAACCAACTCCTGTTCTGAATATTAGGTTTCAACTTACTACAAGATTCCCGTACGTAGAACGGGCAAACAGCTAGTTTAGTTTATTTCCTTAATTTCTGTGATCGACAACACCTAAAGCTTTCAAAAAGAAGTGGTCCAAACTGTTCAAATGTATGTGCCAGGAATTTAACCTGCCCGCTTGCACTGAATTATGGGAATGCCGATCAATCGGTTATCAGAAAATCAGCACACTTTATTTTATGACAAAAAACAAGGGCTGTTCAGAAAGTAAGGTGCAACCACTAAACACACTTTCACGTTCAGATGTGTTCACAGAGATGTGGTCGCGGCGCCCTTTGAAGCAATAGTCAAGTTCAAAATGTGTGCTGCGATTGAATAGTTTGAGATGCAGTCTTTAAAATCTATGGAAATTTATCATCAAGTGTGTGAAATGTGCACGGACACCAAGTTGTGAATAAAAGGTCTGTCCAGGAATGGTGCATTCAGTAATCTCCAATGGTCTAAAACTATAAAAGCTCCTACGTTTCCTAACCTTTTTGGTGATCTGTAAACATTTTCTGCACCCATATTGCAGGTAATTTGATTTAGCCTTGCTGTTGTGAGACAAAGTCTGTACAACCTGGGGGAAACAAAGCGAAAGATCCTTGATTGTTAAACCGATGTTTTTATGAATCTCCTTAGCAACTTTAGCATCCAGTTCATCATCAGTGACAAAGGTCTCACTCTCTTTTTCGTCATGAAAGTCGTTTAGACCATTTTTAAACCAAACAGATTATACTTAAAAAATAACATCATAGCATAGCCTCATCAGAGAGAAACGTTTCTTTCTGAATTGTCTTATTATTAATAAAATACCAAAGATGGAGAACAACTGGGTCCAGTTTCAAACAATCAGAAAGATATTGACTGTTTTCAGGATCAAACCACAACTTTTTGATTCTCCCTTGTATGTTATTATACACTTACGAGATTATCAAGTCTGGTTTATGTTCCGGCTTCTTTTTCTCTTTGCACACCACTGTTACACATTTTCTACCAACTTGTTCATTTTCTACCTCCCAAATTGCACATATTTCATATTTTCCTTCAACAAATTTTGTGTTATCCAAATATGTTTCTGAAAAAAAATTGTACTCTAGAAATTAAAAATTTTAACACAACAGGTACGTAGGTAGGTTGGTTAAAAGGTTAAAAAATTGTGTACATGTAAAGTTTTTTAACGTATATTTTAAATTTTTTACAAGATTAAAGTTTTGTTTTGACCACAATGGAATAAGTAGAAGTGTTGTTCACATATCTTGTAGTATACTAAGTAACCTATTCAAATTAGTTAAACAAACATAGTGTTTTGAGTTAAATACAGACCCTACAGCTTGTTTTGAGTTAATATATCCCTACAGGATGCAGTTTTACAGACAACATTGTGTGAAAAACTCACAAGTGTTTGAGATTTTTTTAAATCTGGGAATTAATTGAAATTTTTAAGATATTTGTTTTTCCCCTTTATACCCTAACAAAAGACAAGCCCGTTTTTGACCCTGTCAGCGCCCTAGGTTGGTTGCACGTCTAATAGTAGCGCCCCTTTGCAATATATATATATATAACAGGGTGTACACCGACCGGGAAATCCGGGAATCATGCGGGAGATCTTTGAACCGTGAATTTTGATTTCTACCTGGAGATTTCAATTTACCGTAATCGCTCATGACAACAGTGACGTTTCCGTGATCGCGCATCACAACAGTGACGTTTCCGTGACCGCGGGAGACAATAATAAATGTCTACACACGGCCGCTAGGGATGATCAGAATTTTCCGCGATCGCAGAAGACAATGATGGTATCTACTATCTACAGAGCCGCAACGGATGATCAGAATATTACCACAATCACGAAAGACGATTGATGTCCACACGACCGCGGGAAACCTCTAGAACTTTGCCGCGATCGCGGAAGACGATGATCTCCATAAAACTTCAGGACATGATTAAAATTTTGCCGCAATCGCTGGAGGCGATTACCATGGATTCACGACTGCAGGATACGTACGATATCTACAGGACCGCGGGAGATATAATAACTACTGTATTTCTACACGGCCACGAGGGATGATCAGAATATTGCCGCGATCACGGAAGACGATGATAATGTCCAAATGACCGCAGGAAAAGATCAGAATTTTGCCTCATTCGCCGAAGACGATTATCTCCATATGTCCGAGGGAGATGATTACCATTTTGTGGGAGGCGACTACTATGTCCAAACGACCGACGGGGACGATATGATGTCTTCACGGCCGCGGGGGTGGTCAGAATTTGACCGCGATCGCGCAAGACGAGGATAATGTCCTCACGACCGCGGGAAAATATCAGAATTTTGCCTCATTTGCGGTAGATGATAATAATCTCCTCACGACTGCGGGATACGTTCTTATATTGCCTCGATCATGGAAAATAAAGACGATAATTTTATGTCCAAACGACCTGACTGCAGAGAATAGTAAGAATCTTGCCGCAAATGCGGGAGACGATTACCATGCCTACACGGCCGCGAGTGGTTATCAGAAGTTTACCGCGATATCATGCAAATACTACCACGATTTTTTTTTTAATTTCCAAATTTTTGGCGCCCCCCAAAAAAGCCAATTGCCTCGCGCCCTAGGCACGTGCCTACCGTGCCTATTCGGTAAATCGGCCCTGACAAAAGATAAACAATAGTAACCCTGGACACTGTTAGACATTATATCCCATACAAACTACTAATAACCCATTTTAGCACTGCTTCTTAGCTAGTTTTAACTGAATCACTTTATAACAAACAAATTAATTTTCAAATTCTAAATGTAAAAAATTATTAAACCCATTTTCTTCATTGTAAGTTACGATGGTTTTAAAGCACAATGGATAAACATTATTTTAATTGTTACGCCCCATTGAAGTGACCTAATTTTCTTTTGATGGCTCATCTACAGACCAAGACCTACGCCTCTGCCAGTTTCTACGCCCATCCGTTCTCTCAAATTAGTTGCCACAAAAAAACCAACAAATTCCACATTTAAGAAATACATAGATACTTTTAAAAATACTTTTTTGTATAGCAAAACTCAAACACAATGCACATGAAATACCACTTTTTATAAATGACTAGTGGCCTGTAGGGGCCATCGCCCCTAATTTAGACACAATTGTACATATGAAGGAAACTCCCCATTTCGCGGTAGTAAGTCAGAAATATATCTATGAATTTGTCCCTGAATTTTAAACCAGTAAGGCCAATTTCCTGGAATCTCTTTTTGTGTAGTGGAAAGCAACGCAAAAGCCATTGCACTGTTGTATTGCCTTATGTTTTTTATGAAGTTAGAATCATGTGAAAACATTTCTTTTAGTTTGTCATTTAATCGTGGTTGTGCAATGTTAATGAGTCCATTGTGGCAACATGCGTTGAAATGTCCATTTGTGGCATCCTCTGTGCTGTTAAGAGGACCTAAATTAATTGTGAGAAACAACACTCAACTCATTTTCCAGCATTCTTGTGAAGGCAGGTTTGTAAACCAGCTTGAGGATTTCTTTCATAGTTAGGCTTTACATGACAATCTCTTTCAGCATTTCTTGTGTCAGTTGAATTCCTGGATACTCTTCAACGTCTTGCAGGTCTTCCCCTACCCTGTCTAGTTACTTCACCCATTATAAAAACGGAGAACAAAAAATTTTACAAATTCATTTCATTTTTAAACATTACTAGCTGTAACCCGCGGGCTTTGCCCCGTTTAACTTCTTAATTTTCAAGATGATCTTGTTCGCATGGCTCAATCACGTCCTGGTTGAAGTTCGTTCGCTACGCTCGATCACCTTTAGGTTGGAGCTCGTTTGCTACACTCACTCACCTTTAGGTTGGAGCTCGTTCGCTACGCTCACTCACCTTAAGGTTGGAGCTCGTTCGCTACGCTCACTCACCTTAAGGTTGCAGCTCGTTCGCTACGCTCACTTGCCTTCAGGTTAGCTCGTTCACTACGCTAACTCGCCTCCAGGTTGAAGTTCGTTCGCTATGCTCACTCACCTTTTGGTTGCAAATTAAATGTTGTCATAAATGTAAAAGAAATAATAGTGCTGCACCATGTTGGTAATCCTTGTAACTTTAATGCTATTGAACATCATAGAACAGAACCAACTTGTTTAATTGAAACAGCTGTTAAGATTCATTAATTCCATTTCTCATAAGGTTAACATGGGAAACTCCAGAGCCACTGGGGCGGAGCGGATCACGAAATTGATGGTGTATGAACCTATTCCATGATATTCTACACGTATGTACCAAGTTTCGTGGCAATCGGTTCAGCGGTGTCTGAGTTTATCACTCCCAAATATATATATATACAGTAGACTCTTGATAATTCGAAATTGGTGGGCCAAGCATAAAAATTTGAATTATCAAGAGTTTTGAATTATCAAGAGTTCGATTTATCGGGAGAAAAATAAACCATTCGAATTACAGAGAGTTCATTTGTTTAATACATACAAAGGTACAGCACGTTATAATAAAACATCATACCGTATTTTAGTACACAATCAACGGCTTATTTTTCAGTTACTGTAGTTGCAAAGAAATCTATTATTTAGCGCCATATATTTCGCCAATAGCTGAACTACCAGCTGTTGACAACTACATTTGTGCTCAAGGAGATGTCGCGCAATCTAGAGATCGGATTGCCAACTTAGAAAAACAAGTCAGCGAACTAACTCAGACTACTGCTCTAACTAAACAAACATCAAAACATCCAACACTAGCCTACCATGGGAACAGGATGTACTGTACTGTATAGTTTCCTGTTATAACAGGAAGAGATCACTTCGAATTATAGAGTGTTTTGCCGACTAAACTTCGAATTACTGCGTGACTTTGATTTATAGAGTGTTTTTTCGACGAAACTTCGAATTACAGCATGACTTCGAATTATAGAGTGTTAACCGACGAAACTTCGAATTACTGCGTGTTAAACCCGTGACCTGCCCTCTATTTGGACTTTGAAATACCGAGTGTATCAAAATGCATGGTAAAAATTTGAATTATTGAGAGATTCTCTAGGGACTGAGCCTTCATTTTGAATTATCGAAAGTTTTGAATTATCAAGTGTTTGAATTACCAAGAGTGGACTGTATATACAAACATCCTCTTTTATACTTATAGATTTAACAACATTGACTTTCGGAATAAATGTAAACATTGCAAATAAATAAGTAACAGCTGATTAGAACGTAGACGTTTTTCAGTCCCCTTGCTTTTCTTATGGTGGATATTTTATGTTATATCTCGTTTTCTGGTAACTTTGGGAATTCTGCTATTTTTCCCGAGTCCCTGAGGTCAAGACCTTTAATTTAAGACCTCTCTCACTTTTCTGCAACTTACCAGACGTCCAAAATTTTCTGGAAAAAAAAATTTTGTCTTACAGAATTATGTATAAGGATAGTAATAATTGTATAATTATTATTGAGAAATTAGTTTTTAAACCCAACTCACTATCATTCACAATCACGGTCGGTGGACAAGGTCCTTTCTCTATGACTTTGCATGTCCAAATCATTTTCCCTTCATTTGGGACGGCCGTTGTGTCAATGTTAACCATACACGCGTTGATAGTTTCATTCCCTTTGATTTTAAAATCTTTCTGTTTCTTGCCTAACAATGTAAAATAGCACTGAAACAAAAAAAAAATTTTTGTAGGCTAAGTAATAATACTAAAAATAGTAAAAAACCAAATTCTGTGATGATAAAAAGGATTGCTAACTAGCAGTTAATTGAAATAGAAAATATGATTGAGAATATTTGTATGACTATTATGTTTTAAATTTATATCACTGTTAACAACGTACTGATGTTTTGCTTATAACAATACAGATCATATTGAAGTGTCTGGCAAATTTTATTCAAATAAAAGAGACACTACAAACTCCATTTTAATGTATAAAAAGTCTTCTAGTCTTGAGTTAGTCTGTGATCTAGATCCATTTTATATCATTTTGCCACTGTTTTTCAATTTTGCAGCCAAATTAAATTGTTAAGAACAAAATTGTTATTTATCCAGAGTGTCCATAAAAAAACGTTTCAAGACTTTGGGAAATGAATCATCATACTAAAAGGAAGAAAAGAGTTTATGTGAAGGTATGTCCAAAAATGCATATTTTCCCAGTTATTCGCCATTTTGTTTTTTATACAAAAATATTTTTACCTTGTGAAGTTTTTCATTCGATGATTATGGAATTTGGTAACCATGTTAACATACACAAGACCTATTATATAAAAAAATAAAGTTGTTCCGATTGTAAATTTCAAAATAGCGGCCGTTTGAATTCTTATAACTTAAAGTACTCAAAAACGGCTTATTCTATGAAAATATGTCAGGGATACTTTTTTTAGCAATTTTAATTTTCTATCAAACCATACCAAGATCAAAAAGATCGGACAAAAGATAAGTAAACTAGAACGGGTTTTTATCTGTAAGACGAGGCAAAATTAACGCTTCCCCGTCTAACTTTGTCTTATTTTTACACAAAAACCGTTATATTTCAGTTATATTATGTCTGATCTTTTTGATCTTGGTATTCTTTAATAGAGAATTAAAAATTCGAAAAAAAAGTATACTGGACAATTTGTAATAGAATTAGCCGTTTTTAAGTTATTTAAGTTATAAAAATTCAAACGGCCATCATTTTGAAATTTACAATCATAAAAACTTTTTTATTTTTTCTATAATATATCTTGTAGGTGTTAACATGGTTACCAAATTTCATAATCATCAAAAGAAAAACTTCACGATAAAAATAGTTTTGTATGAAAAACAAAATGGCGGATAACTGGGTAAATATGCATTTTCGGACATACCTTCACATAATAGGACACTTCACATAAACTTTTTTCTTCCTTTTAGTATGAGGATTCATTTCCCAAAGTCCCGAAACGTTTTTTATTGACACCCTGTAAATGTGTTTGTAATTGTTTGTTGAATTGCTTAGAGTTCACTTATAGAATCAACAACTTATACTGTTGAAATTTATGGTGTTTTGTTTTATCACTTAGGACCACATTACTTTCTGGTGGTATTAAAACAATAATCTCTAGGTTACAAAGCTATATAGTTTGAATCAAATTAAATAAAATTTCCAAATTTTTCTACTAGGTATAGTAGGCCTAAGGTCTTCATTAACCTCGTCAATCTAAATGCGCTAATCCCTAAAGGACCAAAGGCAAAAATAACAAAAACCACTCACGTACCGCCCGTTATATAGATTTTCTCTCCAATCACAATTAATTGTACTACTGTGCGGTTTAAATTGCAGTGTACTACAACAATTTACTATGGTTTATTCATACAACATCTGAAGTTTTTACACCAGAAGTCTCATATTAAATTCTGCATTATGCTAGTTTCAATAATCCAAACAAGTTTAAATAGTTACCCTTAAATCAGAAGGACTTTACTTCAGGCACATACTTACATAGTAGTTATACAGGGCGTCGTCCCTATATTTTGGTATTACATCGCCGGTTTGCAGGTAGGACTGTATAGTCAGCCGTAAAACATAATCTGCTGAACCCATCTTGTTAAACTTGGGCTCGCAAACGTTGTTGATAAAATCGTTATCTGCTTGTTTTTCAGTACATACATTCGGCATTTCAAGTTTCTTACTCTTCTCTACACTGTCAGTCATCGTGTATAATCCATCAACTGTAATATAATAAAAATATATTAATTTTTTACAATTACAATGCCATACCTACCTAAGATTAAATATGTTCAACAAGCTGCCAAATGTCTGCCAAAACATGTCTGTAACTGTTTTTAGTAAAAAGCTCCATAAATGGCTTTTAAACAACCCTTTTTATAAAGTTAGGGAATTTTTTTATACTTGCCCACATGAGACTGATTTTATGTAGTTTAACTAAATGTTGTGTATGCACAGGTATTGTAAATGTTTTTTCCTCCAGTCACCCGACAAAGTTGGCTTCCTTGTACTGTTTATAGTACAGAAAGCTGCTAATTGCTGCATATTTATACTTAGCCGTACGGTTTATACTTTGTCGTACGGTTTATACTTTGCCGCACATCAGGATTCCAACGAAACAAAACAAAACAGCGTGGTTCTATTATGCACGTAATCCGTGTACGCTTGGAAATAGGTTGGCAACACTTAAAGATAATAATACTATGAGCAGCTGATTGACTATTTTAACTACAATTTAAACTGTCATTTCGGGTTTATAGTTTCGGTATTTCTGAGCTTTCTGGACTTTTCTTTTAAACGTATTTAAAACATTCCTACGATCTTAATAAACAAGAAAATACCTTTAAAGCATTTTTTTAGGCGCAGAAACCACTTCAAATTACAAAAACATACGGAACTATATTCTCAAAACGTCAAAACGCGGAGCAAATTTCTTGCCAAGGAAAAATAGCGGAGTGATACGGACCAGGTACTACTTTCTCTAGGGCACCTATTTGTGTTGCCAGCTGAACCTAAAAACGTGTTGTATAGTGTTTGAAAGACTAATTATTTATATGCTTTATAGTGACTGTAGGAAAAATATAATGTGTAACACGAGTGCAAAAGGCCTTTGCTGCACTCGAGATCATTCCACACTCGCCTGCGGCTCGTGTGTAAACATTGCTCTCGTGTGCAGCAAAGTGCCACTTTACCCACTAGTTACACAAATAACTATTCTACGTAGGCCTACTATGTCAGATGTGTTTTTACATTTTACATTTTCCTATTGTTAGAAGGTTAGTAGTCTTGTAAATAAAACGTGACAATGTCTATTGCTAATTTGTAATGTGCTGAATGACTGAATAAATGCCTTATTAACTTAAATAATACGGCTTTAGAAGAAGGGTTGGAAAAGTAAGACTTGGGATGGTTTGAACATGTGAGAAGTATATCAGAAGAATGTGTAGAGCAATAGAGTTGATGGTGATGGAAGGAAGGTTACAGAGAGGAATGGCGGACAGATCAGGTAAACGGGGATATGGTAAAGAGAATAGGGAGATAACAGGTGGAGAAAGAGAAACTGTGAAGAGATATGAGAATATAGAGAGGCCTAGACAATTTCCAGACCTAAAAATAACTAAAATTGAAAATGTGTACTATAAACTTAATATGTATTTGTCGGGTGTGAAACCAATTTATCAAGAAGCTATTCTTATCAACTGATGAGTAATTATGACTGTCATGACATACAGCTTGAACCTGAAAGTTATCTTGGTGCTGCCGTGCTGCTCTTACAAAATGATGCAAGCAACAATCATACAGTACTTGTAAGGTAAGAGAATCTTTATCTACTGTATTTTAAAACAATAAATTTTAGTGAATTTCCCTATAGGGAAGTAGCTATTACTGTTGGTCTTGTGGTAAGACCTAGGTCCGGGACCGATCATCTATTTTTCATTTTGACGTCCTAAGGGGCCAAAAACACCATCCGTTTATAATGTGTTATACATGTGTGTGTGTGTGTCTGTAAACACAATAACTCGAGTAATTTTTGTCCGATATTGATTAAATTTGGCTTGAAGGTGTAAGGCAGGATAAACTTGAATGAGTTCATGAACCAGCATGATTGGACCATGGGAACGGGGTTTTATGGGGTAAAAATTGGGTTTTCTAACTTTTGACCCTCAAAAGAGAGAAATAAAATTTCCCAATTTCTCTCTAGACCATTTTGAAGAGCTTAAAAAAACAAATAGTTAATAAACTATTTATAATGTTATTTATAACTATTTATATCTAAAATATAAAATTCTCGTGTCACAGTGTTTGTCTGCAAACTCCTCCGGAACGACTTCACCGATCGTTATGAAATTTGGTGTGTAAATTCTGTAGGTATGCGAATCGGACGTAAACTATTTCCCGTTTCGAAATTCTTAAAAGGGCTCCGCCCCAGTGGCTCTGGAGTTTCCCATGTTAACCTTATGAGAAATGGAATTAATGAATCTTAACAGCTGTTTCAATTAAACAAGTTGGTTCTGTTCTATGATGTTCAATGGCATTAAAGTTACAAGGATTACCAACAGGGTGCAGCACTATTATTTCTTTTACATTTATGACAACAGCTAATTTGCAACCAAAAGGTGAGTGAGCGTAGCGTACGAACTTCAACCTGGAGGCGAGTTAGCGTAGCGAACGAGCTCCAACCCAAAGGTGAGTGAGCGTAGCGAACGAACTTCAACCTGGAGGCGAGTTAGCGTAGCGAACGAGCTAACCTGAAGGCAAGTGAGCGCAGCGAACGAGCTCCAACCTAAAGGTGAGTGAGCGTAGCGAACGAGCTCCAACCCAAAGGTGAGTGAGCGTAGCGAACGAACTTCAACCAGGACGTGATTGAGCGATGCGAACGAGATCATCTTGAAAATTAAACGTAACGGTACTTTCTTTCCATCGGTCTGTCATAGGGGAAGCCTATAACTTAGGCGATACGAAGTTCGCCGGGTCAGCTAGTGTATTTATATTTATATTAATATGTATTTATAACTATTTATAATGTTAGCGATTTTTAAACGCTTATTGGTTACAGAAGAAGGTTGTACGGAGAAAATTCAAAATATTGTTAATTTAAAATTCCCATGCTATTCTTAGGGGGAATATTGTTAACTGTTGTAGCTTGCTTGTTTATGGATATACTACTACAGTCAAAAAATTCCCAGAATGAATTTCTGTAGGTAGACATTTAGCGCGATCGCCAGGGGGAAATTTGCCTTGCAGTAGTTATTACGACTCCTGGGGAGGGTATATCAGTAGTTGGGGTATAGCTGATGAGCCGTAGTGCAGCATTGGTAAGAGCTTTTTGTGTACTTGCAGTCTACTTTGTTGGTTCGGTCGTGTACACAAACTGTGAGTGGCACAATCTTGGTAGGGTAAAAGATAATTTGGTATAACACAATGTTTCAGTCACCAGTCACAATTTAGTTCAAAAAATTTGGATTTGCATTGGCCATATCAATGAATTCACCAGCCATTAACATTTGAGTTTCTTTGTGCTTAGGACCAGGAGACAGCATTTTAGGGACAATTTACACTTACACTGTTGACTCACAAGACGGTAAATACACAAAAGATGGTATATTTGTTTTATACTAAGCCATTAACATTTTGTTTAAAAAATATTTCATATTTCATAATCTTTCCTGTAGCAGCAAACCTAACCCTTTTCTGTCCTTGTGTCCTTTATAGGACAATACAAATATTTGTTGGGGAAATATCTAACTGAATTTCCATGTTAAGCATAGTATCTCTGGATTCCTAAGATACCAAACTAAATTATAAACATGGAAAATACCACCAATTAAATTACATTACGCAGCTTGCTTGGTGATTATTCAAACCACAGAGTCACACTCAGCTAAAATGCTGTTGGCCATCAAGTTAACTACAGAATAAACAGTAAACCGTAACCGCGTACCCAATAACTGTTGGAAATTAACGTGATGATTCAAGTGTAGTGTAATGTATAAACAAATGTACGATGCCACAGCAAACCTGCAGACTAAGCGAATTACCATTTGTCTGGTTGGATTTTCAATTAAATCTATTTAAATAACATTAGGTTTAACAAGTGCCTAGGTTTGCTGCTACAGGGTATGAAATAAATAAGTTTACAAAGTTTTATTAATAGATATCAGTAAACAAGCAAACTTAAACAGTTTTCTTATTCTTCATAAGAATAACAAGGGAATTTTAAATTTAATATTACACAATAATAAAATAATAAATTATTGTAATAAATTGTAATAAATTTAATATTACAAAATAATTTGAATTTTTCTCAACATTTCTGTATTTCCAAAAATTTTGTGAAATATGGTCAAAAACGTGGAAATCGGCAGCCATTTTCCAAGATATTGGCCGTAGCACAGCATGCACGAATGTTGTTTTTTAATATGTCATTACTGGGTAGTAGTTCTACGCATATGCAATGTTTCCCGTTTAGAGTATTACTAGCTGTACCCACGGGCTTTGCCCCGTTTAACTTCACAAGTATTCGCATGGCTCAATCACGTCCTGGTTGAAGTTCATTCGCTACGCTCACTCACCTTTAGGTTAGAGCTCGTTCGCTGCGCTCACTTGTTTCAGGTTAACTCGTTCGCTACGCTAACTCGCCTTAGGTTGATGTTCGTTCGCTACGCTCACTCACCTTTTGGTTGCAAATTAGATGTTGTCATAAATTTAAAAATTTAATAATAGTGCTGCACCCTGTTGGTAATCCTTGTAACTTTAATGCTATTGAACATCATAGAACAGAACCACTGGGGCTGAGCCCGAAAGCCCGATCAGAATAAAAACTACTTAGTTTTCCTATTTCCCAAAGAATCGGTGTACCGAATTTCAGCCTCCTAGGTAAATGGAAAGTGGGAGAATTAGTGATGAGTGAGTGAGTCAGTCAGTGAGTGAGTCAGTGAGGGCTTTGCCTTTTATATTGTGTGGAAAGATAAAAATATTTAGGCCATACAATACCTATCTACTATGAACGGTTCAGGCAATATTGAGGGGTAAATGTGATTTTTTTCTTAAAGTTCTAAAAAAGTTGTTTTTTATAATGGAGGACACCCATAAAAAGAGTTTGTAATGGATTGGGTAAACCTCCCTTAACATGTGTAAAAAAGTTACACTGATTTGCGTGCCGTTTTTGAGTAGGAGGGGGTGAAAACGGGGTGGGGAATTTTATTTATAAGAAATTTTGTAAAATTTTGTTAAGTGACACTTTTTTCCCTTTATAACACAAATATAATGTCAATTTCACTAAATATGACTTACCTATCTGAAAAGACAAACCTACCTAGATACGTGAACACAGTGAACTTTCTACCGTTTGAATTCTTCTTAAGTGTGTTTTATCATTATAATTATTAAGTAAATATCCTTGTTACAATAGTTATTTGTGTAACTAGTGGGCGAAGTGGTACATTGCTGCACACGAGAGAAATGCTTACACATGAGCCGTAGGCGAGCGTGGAAGGTTTCTCGAGTGCAGCAAAGGCACTTTGCACTCGTGTTACACACGAACACACGTTATATTTTTCCTACAGTTACTATAAATCATATCAATGATAAGCCTTTCAAACACTATACGACATCTGTTTAGGTAAGGTTGAATCCAATCGTTGAACGAAATGGGAAACACTGCAACAGTTGATTGTAATTGTAATATTTTTCAGTGTTGCAAACCTATTTCTAAGCAAACACGGATTACGCGCATAATGAAAGCACGCTGTTTGTGTTGTTTGGTTGGAATACTGGTGTGCGACAAAGTAAAAACCGTATGACAACGTACAAACTGTGTGACATGCATCAATTAGCCGCTTGTATAACCAAACAAAAATGGTGGATATATGGTTAACAAAGCGACTTTGGAAAAAATGTTACACTTGATTTTCTCTTTATTTTGAATCATAGAACCATTTCCTGGAGCTGTCTACTTAAGGGACACTCTGTATATATTAGATTTTCTATTTAAAAAAGGAGTACGTATAAGTAAGTTTGAATGAATCAACAATATCAAGTGAAAAAAAATTATATTTTCCTACAGTCACCCAACAAAGTAGGCTTCCTTGCACAGATCAGTACAGAAAGCTGCTAATTCTTGCATATACTTACTTTTGACCCTCAGTTTCCAACCAAACAACACAAAACAGCGTGCTTTCATCATGCACGTAATCCGTGTTCGCTTAGAAATAGGTTTGCAACACTTAAAAATATTACAATTACAATCAGCTGTTGCATTGTTTCCCATTTCGTTCAACGATTAGATTTAACCCACGAATTCTAGAAAAATACCGGTATGTATCATAAACATAAACAATTGACGTTTTTGGCCCGAAAGTAAACAAAACCTCTATTCTAATAGCATTTAATCGTAATATGGTTTTGTTTACTTTCGGGCCAAAATCCTCATTTGTTTATGTTTATGATCCATACCGGGTCTATTCTAGTATTCGTGTTTTAACCTTACCTAAACAGGTTTTGTATAGTGTTTGAAAGACTAATTATTTATATGATTTTTAGTAACTGTAGGATAAATATAACGTGTAACACAAGTGCAAAGTGCCACTTCGCCCACTAGTTACACAAATAACTATTGTAACACGGATATTTATGTGATATTATAACTGACAAAACTCACTTAAGAATTCAAACGGTAGAAAGTACACTGCGTGTTCACGTATCTAGGTAGGTTTGTCTTTTCAGATAGATAAGTCATATTTAGTTAAATTGACGTTATATTTGTATTAAAAAGGAAAAAAAGTGTTGCATAAAATAAATTTACAAAATTACTTATGAATCAAATTCCCCACCATGTTTTCACCACCTCCTACTCAAAAACGGCACGCAAATCAGTGTAACTTTTTTATATAATTACAAACTCTTTTTATGGGTGTCCATGGGTTTCCTCCTTTTAAAAAACAACTTTTTTAGAATTTTAAGAAAAAAACCACATTTACCCCTCAATATTGCCTGAACCGTTCATAGTAGATAGATATTGTATGGTATCATCTTGTTCGAAATTTAATGTTAATTATTTTTGTAATTCATAATATATCAATACAAATGCACCGTTTTCGAGATATTTGTAAAATAGTAAAATAAGTCCCATTCCCCTCCATTTTTCTTTAAACCCTCCTTCTCCAATCCGACACTCAAATCAGTGTAACTTTTTTACACATATTAAGGGAGGTCTATTAAACAATTTAGCACTCAATAGAAACTTTTTTATGAGTGTCCATGGGTTTCCTCCATTTTAAAAAACAACTTTTTTAGAATTTTAAGAAAAAAATCACATTTACCCCTCAATATCGCCTGAACCGTTCATAGTAGACTAGCTGTAACCCGCGGGCTTTGCCCCGTTTAACTTCTTAATTTTCAAGATGATCTCGTTCGCATGGCTCAATCACGTCCTGGTTGAAGTTCGTTTGCTACGCTCACTCACATTTAGGTTAGAGCTCGTTTGCTACGCTCACTACCTTTAGGTTGGAGCTCGTTCGCTGCGCTCACTTGCCTTCAGGTTAGCTCGTTCGCTATGCTCACTCACCCTTGGGTTGAAGTTCGTTCGCTACGCTCATTCACCTTTTGGTTGCAAATTAGCTGTTGTCATAAATGTAAAAGAAATAATAGTGCTGCACCCTGTTGGTAATCCTTGTAACTTTAATGCTATTGAACATCATAGAACAGAACCAACTTGTTTAATTGAAACAGCTGTTAAGATTCATTAATTCCATTCCATTTCTCATAAGGTTAACATGGGAAACTCCAGGGCCACTGGGGCGGAGCCGATTGGACGGATAACGAAATTGATGGTGTATAAACCTATTCCATGAAATTCTACACGTATGTACCAAGTTTTGTGGCAATCGGTTCAGCGTGTCTGAGTTTATCACTGCCAAATATATATACAAACATCCTCTTATACTTATAGATAGGTATTGTATGGTATCATTTTGTTCAAAATTTAATAGAGATTATTTTTGTAATGCATTGTATTTTGAGAAAAACGCACAGTTTTTGAGTAATTTGCGAAAAAGTAAAAAAGTCCTATTTTCACCCCATTTTCACTGGCCAACAATTTTTATTTAGCCTACCCAAAAATATTTTCAACGAACATAATTACAGTAGCTTTAAAAAACTACTGAAAAACTATTTGCAATCTAAATCAATATATTCAATAGAAGAGTTTTGGAATTTAAATTATTAGAAATATGTTATGTTATGATTTATGTTTGTAATCTATTATTTAGGATACTTGTATACCTAATTTTTTGCTTCTCTTTTTCTTTCTGTGACGCAATTCATGTATTTGCTGTAAAATACTTGATGAATAAAGATGATTTGTATTGTATTGTATTGTATTGTATTGTATGATGTGGCTTTATTTAGTTCCTTTGTGCCACGTGGACTCTTTCCCATTTGGGAAAGCCTGCTATCCAAATCAAAATCCTTATAACTAGGCCCAGATGTCCTATGTTACATCACTACTGGTTTTAAGTCAATTATCTTTAAGAGTATTTCATTATGGCTAATTTCAACTTTTGGATCTAAGTAACACTTACCCTTGTAAAATCTCCAATGGGCCTTGATTATGGTTTTTTTATCCTCACAAATTCTGGACCTTTTTTTCTTATGTAGGATTCCAACTTCAGTGAGTTTACCTCTATCACCTGGTTTTAAAAACGCTTGCCAACCAAAGTCAATTATTGTTGGATCAAATGAAAAGAAAGTTTTGACATCGTAGGGGACTTTGGGTCTTAAAGCATAGTCAGGCACGCTAAAAGAAAAGTTTTGGATTAAATTAAAATTTATGATTATCTTACAATTTTTTGTGATCAATAATATTTTAACCAGTTGTGTTTTAACCAGTTATTTTCTCACGATATTTAGCACATCACTAAACAATTTTGGATTAAATTTGACATGGGTGGTTTGACAGTTAAACAGTTACCTATGCATAATGTACGGGCTTCGTGATTTGAAAAGGAACACAAGGTGGATTCTGGAATGAAGAAAGGAAAGATACTTGTGAACCCTGAAAAAGGAAATCTAGAGAAGTTTAGTAAGTGTTGAATAATGCTCTTGGGTAGGAGACATCAGTTCTCAGTTTAATAAGATCAATAAAAAAAATAGAGATATTGATAGTTCAACATCTGAGGAGAAAATGAGGCATGCTTTATTTATTTATTTATATCAACGGATACACCATTTACAAACAACTTACACAACACAGCTTTGTACATAACATAACATTAAAATACTATGTTCAGTGCCGGATTTACCACTAGGCAGACTAGGCCGTGGCCTAGGGCCCAAGCAAAAGGGGGCCGCAAAGGCATAACAATTTCTTTTTTCAGAGCAAAAAAAAATATTTTTTAAATTATCAAATTGCTGAGATTGCGGGTGACAATAATGCTGTCCCCGTTATTGCGGCCCACGGGAGATGATCACGATTTTGCAATGGTTGCGGGTGTCGATGATAATGTCCCCGTGATTGCGACCAATGGGGGATGTTTACGGTTTTGCCGTTGTCACGTGTGTCGATGATGATATCCTCGTGATTGCGGCCCACGGGAGATATTAATGATTTTGCCGCTGTGGCGGGTTTTAAGGGAGAGGAGGTAAAAATGCTTTAGTGTGAGACTCCTGAGCTTGTCAGACTACTCACTAAAAAAACCCTTCTACTATGTTGGAGACAGACCTGGGATTGTTTGTCTCATTAATTCAGGTCAGGTCAACTTGTGAACTAAGCCCTCAGGGCTCGCACCGTTTCTGGCATTCAATTTCTTTATGACCTAGACTGCATCTCGGTCAAGCTCTAGCTTCTTTGAGCGGAGAATACCCTGGACGAAATGTGACATACAGGTCCAATTGTCCTCACCCTCCATCATCATCGGAATGACCGTGTCCACCGACAACTGCCCTACATGTTGTTCAGCCTTCAGGCGGGAACCTTCCCAACGCTGGCAGCAGAAGAACGTGTGCTCCGCGTCGTCGGGAGTGCTTGGGCAGTAGATGCAATCGGGTGACACGGCTTTGCCCATCCTGAACAGGTACGACCGGAAAAACCCGTGACCTGTCAGAAACTGGGTAAGGTAATAGTCCACCTCACCATACCGTCGGTCAACCCATGGTTGGACTTGCTGAATCAGTCTCCTGATCCAGCGTCCCCGCGACTCCTGCTCCCAGCTCTCCTGCCAGAGCTGGTAGGTGCGGTTGCGCATTACTTCTCCCATAGGTTTGAAGCATATTATTTGCTTTATTTCTTTTGTAAGCTATTTTATTATTTAAAATGTAGTATAGTATTAATATTAGACTTTGTGACAAATCACCTGTCAAGAGAGTTGATGTAATGTGATGATGTTTAATAAATAAAAAAAATAAATACACCTCCTTATTGAGCGTGTCTGCCCACACTTCCGCACCATACAGGAGCACAAACTGAACTGTAGACATCAACGGCCTTCTGCGACTGGAACGAGGACCTCCGACTTTGGCCATTAACCGGCTAAGAGAAGATATCACCTTAGCGGCCTTGTCTGCCGTTCGGAATATCTGGTCCCGCCAGCTAAGCTTAGAGTGCACCATGACACCAAGATACTTGGCGGTGCGAACGGATTGGACTTCGACGTCCCCCACCCTCAACGGCACAATGGTGTCAATCCACTTTTTGGTCAGAATCACAATCTCAGTTTTGTTCAGCGCGAGTGACAGACTATGATCTGCCATCCATGCGTTTATAGTTCGCATGACTCGGTTTAATTTTAATTGGGCCAGCTCAACACTACGAGCAGCTATTAAAGCTGCAATGTCATCTGCGTACCCAACTAAAACGGTTTCTTCAGGCATTTCAGACCTAAGGAGGCTGTCGTAGGCAACGTTCCAGAGGTCCGGGACGAGTATAGAACCTTGGGCAGCACCAGAAGTGACATTCATCGTCCGTGGGCCTTCTGTAGTATCATACATGAGGAGGCGGAACCGGAGGTAATCCTCTATAATGCACATGAGGTATGCCGGGACGGAAGGTGTTCTCCAGAGCGTCCAGCATATCGCACCATCTTGCAGAATTAAATGCGTTTCGCACATCGAGTGTAACGAGCAGCACAACCCTACGAGAGTAGTGATTAAAATCCTCAGCTCTCATCACGGCTTGCTTCACCTCCTCAATAGCGTCGACCGTTGATCGCCCCTTCCTGAAGCCGTATTGGCGAGGCCTCAGGTCCCCTGCAGCAACAACGGCTGAATTCATTCGGGAACGGATTAACTTCTCTAGGACTTTCCCAGCCATATCCAACATGCAAAGGGGTCTGTAAGAGGACGGCAGTTCTGGGTCTCCTTTCCCCTTCCCTACAAGCACGAGCCTAGCTTTTTTCCAGCACAACGGAAATACCCCCTCTGCCAGGCAGGCGTTGTACGTGCTCAGAAGAATCAGGGGATTGATTGAAAAAAACCGTCTTAAGAGCCTCGCCAGGTACCCCATTAGGTCCAGGAGCCTTGTTGTTTTTTAGGGATAAAACGACAGTCTCCTGCTCCTCATGAGTGAAGAGTGGGACATCGTCCATCATCTCAAACTCACGCAGTGGGCGCAGAATATGATCCGGAAAATGGGATTTGACAACCCTCTCCATAGTGGCCCCCTCCATGACGGAAGGTGGAGTGCGGGTGGTGAGTTTTTGGGTTACTAGTTTGTAACCCAGACCCCACGGGTCGGAATCGACATCATCCCTTAGTGTTTTCCAGCAATTGTATTTGCTCCGGTTGATGGCCCGGCGGAAAGACTTCCTCGCCACCTTATAGCTTTCCAGCTTACGGCGTCTATCCAAGGGTGCCCTGGCCCTGGTAGCGAGTCGTCTAGCTGTCAAAGCAGCTTGGCACAAATCCGCAATCTCTGCAGTCCACCAGTATACGGGTCTCCTATCGCAACGGAGTCTCTTGCGGGGCATTGACTCATCACAAGCCGAGGCAATCAGCCCCATCATCGATGTAACTGATGCCTCTGCATGAGCCATGCCAGGTGGAGCAGGCACCGCTGGCACTCCCCGCAGGATGGCCTTGGTGAATTTAGCCACGTCCAGTTTTTTGGTGTTCCACCGAACGGGCACTTCCCGAGATGCAGCAACTTGTCTTGGGAGGTGATCTCAGACATCGAAAATAATATACTGGTGGTCGCTGGCCGTATAATCCTCCAGGCTGTGATCATTGGCAGAAGAGACTCAGATGCGAGGGTTATGTCTGGGATCGTTCCCCTCATCCCGGGTTGCCGAAATGTTGGCGTGTTGCCCTTGTTGATTACAACGAGTCCGGCCCTGGAAGCAAAGTCCAGGATGTACTTCCCCTGGGAATTAGTGAGGGTCATTCCCCACTCGACAGCCCTAGCATTGAAATCACCAGCCACGACTACATGCCCTGTGGTGTCGTGCACGCTCTCTCCCCAGCGGTCTATCTTCTCGGGGAAGTCATGGATAGCCTCGTTAGGGGTGAGGTAGACACTGTAGTAGGTGACGTCCTTGCAACGAACCCAAACGAATCCACGGCCCTTTCCATGACCCCGGACTTGCACTTGAGCTGTATTACACACCCAGAAAGCAGCAGTACCAAGACTATCGGGGAACCAAAAGGGTTGGACCCTATTCCGGTACTGGTACTGCTCGCTGACTAAGAGCGCGTCGACATCGTGTTCGAGGGCAAGCTGACTGAGAAGCGTTTTAGCTGTCCTGGATCTCCCAAGATTACATTGGAGTATTCTTATTTTCGTGTGTGGGCTTTTGCTTGCTGCGCTGCACTGCCCAGACCCAGCTATATGTTTTGTGTTTTTGTCTGCAAGCCCATTTTCCTTACAAAGAAAGCAAGATTCGACTTGGCAGTCCCTACGAGCGTGACCTACTCCTCCGCACCGGAGGCAGTGCTTGCCTCGGTCGGGCCCCTTGCAATTTCGGGAGGAATGACTGAAACCGAGGCACTAAAACACCTGGTTACTTCCACCCTCCGTCTGAGCCTGCAGTTGACCCAACCGACCCTCAAATGCTGGAATGCCAACATCTTACTAGCGTGTGCGTCTGCCATTTCAGCCACCGCCATCCGCTGCTGGTTTCTATTTGGTTTTGTGAGCCACACCCTAACACAGCCGATCTTCCGGCAAGCTCGGGGACTGCTTCCTTTAGGACCTCAACTACCTCACTCTCTGTCGACACACCATCCATGTCTCGAACCTCAACTGACGTTTTAGGCTCGAGTGCACGGACGGTGCCCTGGCCTTCTACAGCTGCCTTTAGTTCAGTAGCAAAAGCGGATTTTTCTTTCGACTTACCCAGTTCAAGGAGGACGTCCTCGCCCCGGGTTTGCCTAATCGACCGCACAACCGTATCGGTCTGCTACGGCTTAGTTTTAGCTTTTATTTTACCCACGACTTCAGCGAATGATCTCCCCCCTGAGGAGTTAACCAAGATTGCCTCCGTCCTGGGCGCTGTGGCGGGTGACGCTGATGATACTGCCGTGATTTCAGCTCAAGGGAGGTGTTCATAATTTTAACGCTGTGGCGGGTGATGCTGATGATGTAGACCTGAATGCGGCCCAAGGGAGATATTCACGATTTTGCCACTGTGGCGGGTGACGCTGATGATGTAGTATTCGATAATTCAATTTCCATGATTGCGGCTCACGGGAGATATTCATGATTTTGCTGCCGTCGCGGGTGACGCTGATTATATCACCGTGATTTCGGCTCACGCGAGTTGATCATGATTTGACCGCGGTCGTGGGTGTTGATGATGATGTCTCTGTGATTATCCAGCACAGGAGATGTTCAAGATTTTTTTCTGCAATCACCAGGAATTTCCCCCATTGGGATGGGGGCCGCTCGATCAATTTGGCCTAGGGCCGCAGGCACCCTAAATCCGGCACTGACAATGTTAACCCTTCCAATTTAAGTGAGACAAAACCAAACATATCTATAAATAAAGCCAATAGTACCCATGATTTTTTGAGGAAACTACAAGTCACATACCCCATAAACCATATACTTCAAATGTTCGTCATGACGAGAAACCTTGCGCAAAACTATCCATTATTTCATAAATTGCCATTTAAGGTTGTAATTGCTTTCCAAAGGGAAATTTCCATATACCTAATGTTAAAAATACCTCATCTGTACTTATTTTTATGTTACTCTTTCAATTTATTACCTTACTAGCTGGCCCGACAGACGTCGTCCTGTCCTATTGTGGTTTTATGTCACATGCTCGTTCATTTTCAAGATGAGCTCGTTCGCATGGCTCAATCACGTCCTGGTTGAAGTTCGTTCGCTACGCTCACTTACCTTTAGGTTGGAGCTCGTTCGCTGCGCTCACTTGCCTTCAGGTTAGTTTGTTCGCTACGCTAACCCGCCTCCAGGTTGAAGTTTGTTCGCTATGCTCACTCACCTTTTGGTTGCAAATTAGCTGTTCTCATAAATTAAAAATAAATATAGTGCTGCACCCTGTTGCTAAACCTATTAACTTTTTAATGCTATTGAACATCACAGAATCAAATTGTTTAGTTGCACCAGCTGTTAAGATTCTTTAATCTATATATATAAAATCCAATGTATGTTTGTATGTTTGTATGTTTGTATATTTGTATGTTTGTATATTTGTATGTTTGTCCTTTATGGACTCCGAAACCGCTCGACAGATTGTAATGAAACTTTCAGGCATTATTAAGCATTATTCAAGGATGGTTTGTGTGAAGTTTGGTGCAGATCCGTCAAAAGGGCTCCGCCCCAGTGGCTCTGGAGTTTCCCATGTTAACCTTATGAGTACTCATATTTAAATGGAATTAAAGAATCTTAACAGCTGGTTCAACTAAACTATCTGATTCTGTGATGTTCAATAGCATTAAAAAGTTAATTAAAAAGTTAAGTTAGTTAGCATTAAAAGTTTACCAACAGGGTGCAGCACTATATATATTTTTTTAATTTATGATAACAGCTAACTTGCAACCAAAAGGTGAGTGAGCGTAGCGAATGAACTTCAACCTGGATGCGAGTTAGCGTAGCGAACGAGCTAACCTGAAGGCAAGTGAGCGCAGGGAACGAGCTCCAACCTAAAGGTGAGTGAGCGTAGCGAACGAACTTCAACAGCTAATTAGCAACCAAATAGTGAGTGAGCGTAGCGAACGAAATTTAACCAGGACATGATTGAGCCATGCGAACAAACTCATCTTGAAAATGAACGAGCATTTGACATAAATCCACACTAGGACAGGACGACGTCTGTCGGGCCAGCTAGTTCCATTTAAATATGAGTACTCATAAGGTTAACATGGGAAACTCCAGAGACACTGGGGCGGAGCCCTATTTACGGATCTGCACCAAACTTCACACAAACCATCCTTGAATAATGCTTAATCATGCCTGAAAGTTTCATTACAATCTGTCGAGCGGTTTTGGAGTCCATAAAGGACAAACATACAAACATACAAACATACATTGGATTTTATATATATAGATAAAAATCAGGTGTGATTATTTGTTTGAATTAATGTATTTTGTTTTGTTTATTTCAGCTTAACTTAACCAATCAATAGTTTTAACTGATGAAGTCAATCGGGGTGAAGCCCGTGGGTAACAGCTAGTAGGAGTTAAACTAGGAATTGCATAAACGAGGGAATGGTCTCCTATGGGGATCTACTATATAAGGGAAAAATTAAGATAGGATAGGGGAAGTGCAGGGTAAGGTTAGGGCTACATACAC